TCGTATGTGATTTTCCTCCTGACTTATACGTCACTGGTAAAATTCGCATTTTGGTAGCAAATATTGAAGTGACCAAAGTGAAAAATTGTTCCAAAAAGAGTTTTCTTGGTTTATTACTATAAAGTTGTCCATTTTTGAGAAAATTGCTTTTTACCATTTTCGAGACTCATACGAAACATTAAAATCTTTTCCACTGGGGCACAACCTCTCAGTCCTGTAGTTGAAACGGTTCCTATCATATTTCCAATAAAAGCTATAAAGTTAAAAATTGACGTCCCTGTACCTGAGAAAAAAAGTGTTTCTTCAGCAAGAATCTACCGTTTTCCGTTGGTACACTTAGTTAGGACCACCATGTATAATTAACTACCTGGAATGATGACTTCTTTCATTCCCTTGAACATGTTCAACCTGTTATACTAATATTTTTCAAGTATTTTTTTTTTAATTAAAAATAGCTATTAAATTCATGCAAGTTCATAAAGCAATTACGGCTAGAAGTCAATTATTGATTGAGTATTATTACTAACCATCATTGTTAATCTTAAGTTAATGTTAAGAATTAAAAACATTAACGGATTTCAATTAGCCAAGTATTGCAAGCAAATTTAATATTGAATAAATGAATATCATGTCACATCAAACACGTAAAATTGGAATAATCGGGAAAATAAAGTGTAAATACACTAATATTAAGAAGCATTGATAAAAACTGTACGAACTAAACGTTACAAATTGCAAACATTTTTAACGGCTTTCAAATGTACAGTAACATAATAAATTCATAATGCATGCTGATTTGCTACTAATTTTTCTTTCTTGGACTTATATTTGTGCAAATAACTCGAAAACGAAGACAGATACGAAAAAACTGCAAGAGATCAGAAAATCCATCAGTTAAGCAATAAATTCAAAAAGTCGTTCGGTCAAAAAAATGTATCAAATATTTCCATTTATTATAAAATTAATTTCTTTCACGAAAAAATGTGAACAAAAGGACTCAAAAGAATTATAAGAAAATTCATGGAAAATCACCCAGGAACCCTACATGGACTTATATATAAGAGATCAGAAAATTCTTAAATTGAACAACAAATTCAAAAATTTGTTTGCCAGAAGTCAGTGGCGCAGAAAAAAAATTCTGGGGGGTAAAAGGGGGTATGCCTCTAGAAGAAAGAATACCCTGCAGATTTTCACAACCAGTCGCCTTACAGAGTCTAAACATTAGCCAACATTAAAAATTTGAGCAAAATATCTCGTAAACTGTAGGAGTTAAAGAGAAAATACCAAAATTTTTTTGAAAGTTTCACACCCTGTATCTCGTTAACCATGGACCTGTAAAAAAAACTTAAATGGAAATTCGACTTGTTTTGAGGTCCTCTACACGCCCCTGCTCTGTGTCCATAAGGTTGTGAATCACCCTGTATATGTTTGGTTAAATAAAAACTTATATGCAAAAGTACTTTTTTGAACTGTCTGTCTGCTTTTGTCTAGGACTGAGAGAGTTTTCAATTTCATTTAAACCGATATTTCAACTTTTTTATGTTATTTTTGTATACTTTTTGTTTCTTCTGATCGAAAATCCTTGTAGTTGATTGTGTACAAATACTCGTATCTACTTAAAACGCCAATGTACTCCCACTCGTCCTCTTCATCCTTTTCCTGAAAATCTTCTTATCGGTTCTTTCAGCTTTTTAATTTAAGTTTTTCACTGAAGTGGTGACTTTTTAAGTCTTATATATTGCTGTTTTTTATTGAGTAAAATAATAGTTTTTGTTTGGTTCCATTCGAGGTGTTCGATCACTGTATGGATAGTGATCTTTTTGGTGGAGACAATTGCTCTATTGCTTTACTGGCTTTAATTTCCTTATTTTCATCTGAGAGTCTAGTGTTTTCTCGTTTATTAATTTAGATTTCCACCTTTGAAATCGAGGTTCTGCTTGTTTTATTGCTTTGCCATTTGTTAATATAAACTTCCTCTGGTATTTTGGACAATTTTTGTTTCGCTTCCGGTAACCTTGTAGATCTAAAGTGATGTTAAAGACATTTCCTTGTTCGGGTTTTTTAGATGGTTACCTCTGTTTCTTTCCAAGTTTATTGTTGCTAGATGAAGTTTCGTTTCTTCTCCTGAATTTTTTTACATTACGTTTTGATCACGATACGTAAGTATTATCCAAAAGAAGCTGTTTCTTGAGATTATCAAAGGTTTTCAGCTTAGAAAAACAATAAAACTTTATCCAGGACCGATTTGAACTTGGATTATTTTGGACCAAAAAGCTTTGGTAAAATAAAATGCATATTTAGCGAGTACTATTCTTAGACTAAACCTAGCTGATGAGAGCTAATAGGCTCGAAACCGATTCTGCAGGTGCTTGAGATTAAAACATCTCAACATCTACACTTGTTTGCTAGTTGGTATATGCCTTTTTTCAGATTTGATTCATGATCCTGCTTTATTAGACGTTAATATTTAATTGTTTTATTAATTTAGCTTATTCATTAACTGAAAAAGTCGTTTATAATCCTGCCACTTTCATTGAGTGTCTCATTTTTCCCGTACCAATCGACTTCTACTGCAAATTAAAGCATAATTCTTCAAATAAACGCAACAATTTAATTGAGTTTTTTTGCAATACTTTGGAGCTCATTCGAAAATAGTTTCTAACAGAATGAAAGTAAAAAACAATTTTACAGCATTAGATTTCCCAACGTAAGAGAGCAGTTTCCAATCCTCATAAACCAAAAAAAGAAATGAATGRACGGTTAAAACGCTTTTTCAAATTTTAGTAGCTCTTCTTTGGGTTTTTTTTTATTTYARTTTTTTAAGTWAKATCGAAATTCTGACTGTTTYGTCAATTAATATTTSGATTGAAAACTCGGRAATTTAGAGCAACTTTGATCCGGAACAAGGAAAAAATTTGCAAAATTTCTTGCCGTTATGAAGAATTTTTTTAATCAATTTTAAAATGATATATTTGAAATTCAAATATCAAATATTCCAATAGCATTGGAATATTTGATTTCTGTTATTCACGATTAGCTTAACTTGTGTCACCAACCGAAGTAATATRAAGTTTTCCGTAAGATAAAAGATGGAAAAGTGGGATAATTTATTAAAAATACATAGAAAAATAACATAAAATGATGTTAATGTTATTAAAATTATATTACTCACTCAAATCTGTTGCTAAGAGCTCCGTAGTGGGATTATTGTAAAATGAATTATTTATATCTTTAAAACTACTTAGTGCATTTAGCATGAGTACAATAAGGTTTAATACTTATAATGTCTGGAACAAACGAGTTATGGGACGGCTTTGCTCTCAAAAGCACGGCATTATTTCTGCATTATTCAGTTAGAAGTAAAATTAATATTGATTTTCTTCATCAATATAACATTTCTAATTTTTTCAGTTTAGGATTTGTCATTTGCACAGTTTAGGATTTGCAAATTATTTGTTATACAGAGCGTCCCGTAAGCTCATGATCAAAAGGGTACTGTGATATTCTTTGGACCAAAAGAAGACGATCTGACCTAACTTTTATTAACAAAAATTGTCTGGTTCCTCTGCTATTGATGGTCAAAGTTCTTCCAAAAATTTGTCTTTTTCGAAATTTCGGGAGAATGGTACGATGTATTTTAGTGAAACTCGCTGTGAATTTGTTCTTATGTAAGACTCATATTTTGATGAAACAATGGAGATCAGCCGTTTTGGACAAGTGGTGAATTCTCGAGTGTCGTGGTACAAAAACTACCAGAACTTTTTAGTTGGTGGATGACATCAACTCATCTTTTTTATGTTGATGCACTAATCATTTGTTCACAATTTTGTGCTCTTTGTAAAATCAAAAGCATTCATAGTTTTTGCGTAAAAAATATGTCTGTTTTCTAGTCACTTAGCACTGCTAGACATTTACTGCAAATGTGCGTCGCGTAAACGCGTACGCTTTCCCGCAAATTGTCTTCGCAAAACCCTACTACTTTGACCATGTCGGTCAGTTCTTCATTAGAAAAGGTCTTTCAAAACGAATTTGTGAGATAGATTGAGAATGATTTGATGCCTTGTATCACGATAGTTGCAGTTAATGTCTAACATTGTTAAGTGGCAAGGAAACAGAAGTATTTTTTTTTGCAAAAACTATGAATGCTACAAGATTTTACAAAGAGCACAAAATTGTGAAGAAATTATTAGTGTATCAACATAAAAAAGATGAGTTGATGTCATCCACCAACTAAAAAGTTCTGGYAGTTTTTGTACCACGACACTCAAGAATTCACCACTTGTCCAAAACGGCTGAACTTGATTGTTTCATCAAAATATGAGTCTTACATAAGAATAAATTCACAGCGAGTTTCACTAWAATACATCGTACCATTCGCCCGATATTTCGAAAAAGATAAWTTTTTTTAAGAACTTTGACCCTCAATTGCAGAGGACATTTTTTGTTAATAAAAGTTAGGTCAGATCCTCTTCTTTTAGTCCAAAGAATATCGCAGTACCCTTTTGATCATGAGCTTACGGGACACCCTGTATAAAAATGTTTTATTTTTAATTTATTTAATGTCTGGTATATTAATATTAGGCGTAAAATAACTGGGCCTCAATGAAACGATGCCGGTAACTGAGTTGTATTGCCTCAAATCTATTTTTTCTTGCTGGCAAAAAGGTTCTTATGAACGAGTATCTATGTATTATTACAAAAATTTATAAAAATTAAATTTTTGCACTTCCATATTTCAACTCATATTTTGCCAACTCTAAAACACTGCTAACCCTATGTTATTTAACAACTATTCCCGTTGAGCATGTTTGAGTTTTGGAAAAACTGATTGTTGTAAAATGTTGTAAAGTGATACTGTTTGATGCAACAACAATCGAGAAACGACAAGAATTATTTAAATGGAGAAAAGTGTATTTCTTTAAAAGTTGAAATTAAACAAAATAAAACTAATTCGAGCCCACTCGGGTTCGAATTCCCAAAGAAAAATATTAAACACTTACCCTTTCCACCATTTGCTTCCTTCATCAATTCCAAACAATCCACCGATTCCAAATGAACCGGCAGGTCGTTCTAAGCTAGGCAAAGGCAAGGGCGGAAATTCAAAGTCCGGTCCAAAAGGACTTGCGAACGATGGGAAACCTCCTGGATTAGCATTAATGTCAACAATTCCTCCTCCCATACCAACCGCTGGAATGTTAGCTGGCTGCTTTGGGCCTTGGTTCTCCTTCTTAGGGATCAGGACTGGTTTGTCCTTCTCTTGAGGAGGAGCTGCAAGCAAAACGAAAACAATATGTTAATGTTTATATAATCGTTCTTAAAGAGCAAATTTTACAAACCTGCCACTACCGGTTTGTCTTCGGTGCCGGCAGGATTGGGGTCTTTGTAGTCAGGTCCCAAAGGTTCGCGATCTTTTTCCAAAGACTCAGATGTGCCAGCTGCATTCCTTGCATTGAAGTTCGGACGATCCCATTCGGATATTTGAAACAAAGGGGCCCCTCCAAACAAACTCAAGTCGCTAGAATTAAACATTTTTTCTTCGATAAAAAACAATCTATTCAAGTTGATGACAATAGTTCCAGCGTATAATTAGACAACATATGAATCACTCCAATTTAGCCATTGTTTTCAATGTTTGTCTATTAGGAGCTGACCTTCATGTGTGCTCCTTCCAAGAATAGGAAAGTTCCTTACTTTTCGATCTCAGTTTAGACAGGAAACTTTATCAAGGATCTATTGATTGATTTTAAAAGAATGATAAAAATCAAAGTCTAATGCGTTTGTTTGTGTTAGAATGGAATGGACGTACCGTAATTATTTTAATTACAGGTGTTTTAGATGGTTTACCAAGAAATATGTGTTTGCTTGCTAGATACACGTATATTATTTATTCATTATTAATGTTACTTAGTACATGCAGCGAAGTGTACTAGTTTTACTGAAAGCATACAGGAAAGTAGGATATTTCTTTTTTCCTATTTAATGGGATTGTTCACCGTTACTTTGAAAATCACGAAATGTTGGTGATAAATGCCACTTTTTACTGTTAATATTTCCAAAATTAAACCATTTAATATTGTTTATTATATCTGTGTGACCTAATTTAGCATTCGCTTTTATACAGTTATAAAGTTGATGTTGAATAAGATTATTTTTTACAACAAAACGCTTCATTTTTTCGTCATGTAACATTTGCCTACATAACTCGAGAAACATTTTTAATATTTGCAAAAAACTCAAGACTAGCKGAAAAGCCAAACCAAAGCTTTTGGACTGATTGAAAAGTACATGTTTGATCCGATCAATACCAGGAYSTTAATATRAATGCGGTAGGGATATCTGAAATAAATTGCGAATAGAACAARGAATCGAACTSTAGAAAAATGTAAATTTTAGACACAAAATAAATTTGTSACAATCCKGCACAAWWTTTTTTTAAATTGAAACTGAAAYAAWTTTTTAATTGCATGATTCTCTTTTAAGAATGCCAATGAAYTATTTTTATCACCAGAATATCGCAGTTGTTAAAGAAATTGTTTCAAAACTCTCCGAGGCAATTTTGAATKAAAYCTTTGAAGGCGAAAAMCTCATATTAYTTTTTTGTASCATTTATCACAACTTTTAGCACTAACTTTAWACTACCCTGTATTKTCCAKATTATAAAACTTAGAAAAAGCCACACTATTTYATCAGTCCCTTGAAATAGCAAACATTTTGAACACAAAAGCGAAAMAWTGTTGATGAAAAGTAAATACTTCATTCACAAATAAACATAAAATAGAGCGACTTCTGTTAATGATCGAAAGRCAATTCTTCAAAACTGTGAAGGAAATAAAWAATCAGAATAGTCTTAAAAATGGAAGAAATTGAAAGAAAATKAAGCTTTTCTAAAACTTTATATTTTTTATTTCTACTCTATTATTTGTAATTTGTGATTTTATGTTGATAAATCCAAATAAATCCAAAATTTTTTCGACGTCTCGTCAGCTTCAGTAGCTGATATTCTCAGAGATTTTGCTAGAAAACTCCCCTTTTTCTCATAATCACTAAACTTAATAATAAAAATGAATGTGTAAATTTATCAAGTTTAAATAGGGCGTACCAATTTATACCTTTGCCAAAATAAAGAAAGATCTCTTCATAATTCACTATTTTCTGAAAGAACAGTTTTAAGAATTTGCCGTAGATCACCGATAAGGGTTGTATCCAAAAATTGTTAATTTATGTTTGTAAAGCAAATTTACGAATTTAATTTCGACCAAACATTACAAATGCAAAGTTAACAAAAAACTGCCTGAAAGTCGAAAAAAGCTTTAATGCAACAATTGCTTTCAAAAATATTTAACGTAGACATTTGATCATTTGAATAAACACGAAAAATTAATCGAATTAACAAAAATATCAGCATTTATTGGCCTACAAAACATAAAAAAATCAGAACCACAAATTAAAAAAAAAATGTAAGCAGGTACTCGTTCCATATTTGCAAGTTTTCTAGAACTGTGTYACATTCCAAAATGTGGACCTTTAAATMAAATTAATTTAAAAATTATTAATTTTAATTTGAAATAGTTTTTAAAATATATTCTTAGAGTCATAATTTTCTTTCCCATTCTGATTATGCCGCAACTGCATAAGCAAGAAAAAGACAAAGGTACAATACTTTTCGAAGTACTAAAATAAAAACTAACGACAGAAAAAAGATTAATATTTGAGTAAAATATAATTACTTGGTTAATTTTAGGCTTAATTAATAAGATGTTCATTTAAGCTTATAGAACATGATGTCTTCTACCTAATGACAATGTAAAATACAGAAAATTATATAAAAGAAATTCGTACCATCATCTTTCAACGTCAAAAACGTTATGGTTGTAAAACTTGTTTTACGGTACAGAAACCCTTTGATTTTCTCTTGTTAAGGAAATATTCACTATTAATCGTGCATCAATTTTCTTTCGAAAAAAAAATGAACACTTTTTTCAGTATATACTAGAAAAATTATATCAAAAGCCACATATAAATAGTATCTAATAAACAGAGCGTTCAATTTTTTTTAAATTGAAGCTTTATATGATACCAGTTCCTTTACTTTCAGGTATTTGTAATAATAAGTTCCTGTGATTTTAAACGACTGAAAGTCTGAAAATTTAAAAATGTTATTGCTTATTGTTGAATTGTAAATAAGCTGCTGAAATTTTGCATTTTCTCCTGCTAAATTTAGATAATTAATATTTTACAAATATTTCATCTTCTTTCTTCGTCATTTCTCCTCGGCCGTCCTTACAAAGCAAACAAGGAAATAACGACAAAACCACAACCCTTAAACGAGTTAAGTCAGATCGCAAATTAATTATGGTAAATAACGTTAGTTGCTAACAGTAAACTGTAGATAGCCAACTGCATAATTACCAGGAAAATATAAAAGGACAACGATAAACTTGAACTCAGTTGTTGTTATCGTTCCGGTCAATGGAAGACGCGTTCTAGAAAACGGCTGCAAAATAATCTCACTTTGAATTGATTGGAGATGATTAATTTCAAACGAATTTACATTTAGTGGCAATTTCACGAATGGGTGGGTTTTAATTGATAAATTAAATGTGAATGCGTGGGCGACCATATCAAAGTGTGTGATTATACCAGATGATTTCAGCGTTAGGGTGGTTACAAATTAAATTACTGATTATTTTACACGCTTTTTGTTTAATTATATTGGATTTTATATACAATTGTATCAAGCAAAATATTCAGCTATTGCCTTGGTAGATATGAGAGATGCCAAGAGCCTGCTCGAGCATGATTTTGGATTATCGCTTGTTTATTAGCATTTATTAATTTTTTGTAACAATATCAATGTTAAAGAATTATTATATTTTTATCCAAAAAATGATGACTAAGCAAACTGAAGACACTTTTAAAGAACCCGAATAGGATGTTTTTATGACGCTGTTTCAGTTCGGTTGAATCAACGAACGGTTGAACAATACGTTATTATGATGTATTTTTGAAGACAAGATTTATTTCATGTTTAAATAACGGTTGATAAACCTGTTGAAACAGCAATCGGGCTGATGCTATGATTTAGATAATTCCTAATATGACAAGCGTATTTTCATCTCTGCAATGTGAGGTGGACTGTGAAGCAAAAAGAGTTCTTGCTTTATATTTATTATTACGTATTATAGTAGAGAAAGCATTGAAAAATGGAGGTACATTTATTAAAGAAACGAATTGTCATGAAGACCGCGGTGTATCTGATTTTCTGTATATCCACTAACACCATAATAATAAACTTAATGTAATTATAATAAACCTTTTAAGTATCCAGCGTGATTTTCCATTGAACGTTGAAAGTATTCGATTTAAAATTCATTATTTGTTTTGTACTTCTGCCTGGTTTTTTAACGTTGCTTAAAAGCCCTGTTACTTATCATTTCTAAGTGCACTTTATAAAAGGCGGTCAGTAAATAATTGCGACACAGGTTGTTAACATTATCATCCATATAAAATAGATAATCCCTGTTCAAAAAACACAAAATACGCATAATTTTCTTTTGAGAATATTTTTCAAAGATTGAAGAAAATCTGATAAAAATAAGTAAATATAGCAGATTAGTAGAAATTACAAACTAGAAATATTCATTGACCGCAGTTTAATATTGAGGACAGTTTTATTTTTAAACAAAATATGTTAAAAATGTAGGGTTTTCGGTGACGTAAATATAAAAATAAAAATGTGTATTCGTTTTATTATCAAAAATAATTCCACTCAAATTTCCAGAATGCAACAGCAGACAAACTGKCATATTATCTTTATTMTTCGATATAAATAATATGGAGCTTTGGTTATTGCCATAATTCTTGTTTCTATAATGAATGAAATTTTCATGCTACATGCTGCATTTTATATGCTAYTTGTGGGCTCAGTGGTTGGTTCCAATTGAACGAATAAAACATATTTCATATAATGCCAAAATCAAACGTATTTCGAAATTCGGCTTACAAAACTGGAACGTTGAACTTTTTGCATTGTTGAGCATTTTCCGTTTTCTACCACTTATGGAGACAAAACAAATAGGTTGCAAGAACGAAAATAAATGCTACTTACGTTTGCTGCTTCCATCGCATAATCTAATCGCAATAAATTGCGATCGATAATTTAGACCATAAAAGAACATAAATTTAAGGCGTTGCGAGGTTTCTTAATTTTCTGATCCGCCTTTTTCGCCAGTTTAATACTACTTCCTGTTTCTGTTAAATTGTTTTGTGGTGTCTACTTGTTTGCTACAGCCATTTGCTTCTTTTAACGTTTTACGCAGTGTCCTTTAGTCAAATTAATTTTTTTTGTGTCAATTTGTTTTACTTCTAATTTTCTGCAAATCACACATCGTAGTTTAAAATATGTGATGATGACCGAAATTCAAATCCAAAACTGTCGGTTTCAGTCTCTAATTAATTCCAATGTGCTTAACCGCAAAAATAAAATCAAAATTATTAGAAAAAATGACAAAATAAAATATAAAAATTATTTAAAGGCACGAGCTTATTCTATTTCCAACTTTTTTCTTCAACGTTAATGTGAGTTTCGCAAAAACGTTTGATATAACTTACTCAAATGAGAGCGGAATTATTAATTAGGTACTCACTTATTTTTTGTGCATGTAGTCGTAATAAATAATAAAAAAAAAATAAAGGTTACATACCAAAATTGCCGTTTTTACCTAATGTATAAGTGATGGCTGGCAGAAGAGAATACAACAATGAGAACAGAGTACAGAAGCCATTCCACAAAATGAATCAGAAAATAGACAAATACTAATAAAATTTAACATATACATATTTGAAACAAAGTGTATTAGAAATTATAAAGTTAGCACAAATTTTCCTCTGAGAAGTGAAGTGAAAGAGAGTTTTGGAGAAGCTGAAAAATTATGTGAAGACAATAACATATAAAAAATAAAAACGAATTTTCGAATTTTTAATGAATTTGTGTTTATTATTCTGATTTAACACTCACTAAATCCTAGTAGGTCAACTAAGTAAAATAACAAAATTCTTTAATATTATCCAGAAAATATCCGGAATTTCATGCTCAAAGGTTTAGCTATTTGCACATTTCTTTATATCTTGAAAATATGCCGTTCTTCAACTTTTTACAAAAATTATTCAAAAAGGGTTTTATTCTTTTTTTAAAAGTTTATTCTTTGTTTCGGCAGCACGAGTGACTTGCGCCTTCAAAAGTGGTTTGTTTGTCGAGATTCTTTTCCACGACTGCATCAAAGCAAAAAAATTAGTTTATGTGATAAATTATTTAATAAACTAATTAACACATATTATAATTTCGAATTATTGCACATCACACTGCTGTTAGCAGGTAGCCAGTCGAATAGCAGTTCTAGGTATTAGAAAAGTCATGAAATGTAGGTAGCAATAAATGAAAATAAGCTCATGTGAAGGCAAAGTTTAATAACTTGGTAAATTTAACAGTTGGTGAAATATATGAAAATTTCATTTTTTATTATGTTTTTATTTATGTAGCATCAATATTTACATACTTATTTACAATCAGAGACAAAAGAACTCCTCTAATACTAATAGGAAAACAATTACATGAAACAGAAATTGAAATCCTAATTTTCTTAAATAAACTTTTAAACGAAGCATTTTCCGATCTTCAACTGAAAATTTGACAAAAAAATACAATTGAACCCATCAATAACAAAAAAAATGTTTAAATAAATTTCAATTAATCAACGATCATTCAAATGAGCCTAAGAAGCTACTTTCTCCATATTAACTTACTTGAACAGATCGGCCTGAGCACTCAGAACTAACAATACACAAAACAAAAACGCTCGCCTCAGCATTTTTGCGCTGATTGGTACTAAAAATGTCTTTTCTTGGCTTATACGAAACTGTTAATGCGCGTTTTAAACAATTGACTCTAGCTAGAATGACCGGCTCTTCGCCTGTATTTATAAACGCGCGACACTGAACCGAGGAAGGGGGTTCTAATTGGCAGTGTCGGGTACATAAGCGATTTTCTTTCCAGAAGTTTCTTTAAATTGCCTGGAAAATTACCACAATTATCTTCAGTTAGTTGAAGGACCAAGTTATCACGGTTTGCGTGCCATAAATCTTGTAATAAGTAACAAAATATTATTTATTTAGTTACAGAACTATCAGTAACAGCAACTTAATAGAAAGTATTTGTTAATATCTATACAATTGATTTTTTCTTCTTTGCTGTCTTTATTGTTTGTCCAGATATATATTACTTTGCCAATCTGCAGAAAGCTATTTTTGAATCTGAAAATGGAAGCTGCTTCAGCTTCACTTTAAAAAATGACAATATAATATTTCGTGTATCTTTATTAGTGTTAAACATTTCATTTCTAAAGTTAATTGTATATAATTAAACTAAATATGCAACAGTGGTTTCAAAATTGTGGAGAAGAAGATTCCTCAAAATACAAAAGGTTTTAATATAGAAAATGAAACCCATCTTCGGCCCAACACCGGCTTGTCCCAGCAATCTTAAAAAGCAGATAATATGAAATGGACCACAAAAAGTTTAATTATATATAAATGAATGTAATCTAATAAATAAAAAACCGCATATGATCAAAATTTAGATATATACATAAATGAAAGTAAGTCATAGGGTTTTTAAACGTTCGATTTCTAGCAATAAGCGCTGACACATATATAAAATAAGCAAATACTCAGAACCACCATAATAAAGAAACAAGATAGGAGAAAGCGAATAAGGGAATAAGTAGGATGAGAGAGGCGAGAGCAGTTAAAATATTTATATTAAGTAACAAAATTACAAATTAGAAACAAAGTTTAAAGTTCGCCAACGTTTTCTAGAAGTTTCTGGGAATATGATTTTTTTATTCTTTCTGTTTCAGACAAATCAGCTTCAGAAGAGCTTGACGCCGCTGGTTGCATCCAACACAACCGTTATTCGCATTGCCTGCAGCGTCATTTCTTGTAAGTACCTTTCAGTTTATTACTTTAGAGTAGTCCGAAGCGTCCAATGAGGTTTCAGATGGTACCGGTAGTACCTCGAATAGTGAAGACGTCATCACGATATCATCTTGCCAATTTCTCTTGTACGTTTTTATTTTTAATTTAACCCAATAGCCAAAAAGAAACTTATTATTGGCTGAAATTTCTAGCAAACATGGGAGAGAAAACCGGTTATTCAAGCTGGGTTTTTCAAATTTGACCGTTTTTTATTAAACATTTGAAACCGAACAGAAAGTTCACTAAAGTATATTGAAAGTAAAGACGCATTTAGCGCGGCTATAAAATTACTGAAAACGAAACACACATTTGCAGCTACTACAAATCTAGATAGTCACTGTGTAATATTTTTGGGATTTTGCATCAAGTTTTAAAATAATCCCTTGTGAAATACATACATTAATTATCAGGATAACAATTAACGTGTTGATGTTTGCTTTGAAGAATAAGTTTAAAAATATTTGATGTGCCGAAGAAAACAATTTTTGTAAGTTCAGTGCCAACTTTTTAAAAAAACCATCTTTAAAAAAAAAAAATTTATTTGCGAGTTGAAAATTTGCCGCAGTCTTAACCGAAAATGAAGAAACAGCTTCAGAAACTTCAAAAGTTCTACTTTAATGTCAGTTTCAAAGATTTCTAAATAAAGAGGACAATATCGTATTTTAGGAGCTTTCCATTAGCAGTTTTTTACACAACAAGCATAAATAGTAACTAACAATTTACCGATAAACTGCTCATAATTTTCTTAATGGTTTTGATCCGAATGTCTGTTCTGATTAAGTAAATGAAGTTATAAACTAATACTTCATAAAATAGAAAAGTTTTTTTAAATTCATTGTAAGGGTTTTGCTGAAATTTTTATTATATTTGTTTAATACTATGTTTAAAAATACATTCCCAAACATATTTTTAAAGCTTTTATTAATGTTTGCACAATGAAATTTCTGATCTACTGTTAAGACTGAAACAAAGGAAATGTTTTTGAAACGCTTGGTATACGTTTTTCTAATGTTATTTTCAATTGTAAATTAATTAAAGATTTTTCTAAATTACATACGTAATGAATAATAAAATTAACTACTTAAAACGAAAATATATTAAATACAGTAAGTTGTATCTTTTAGATCAGAAATCGAATCTCGGTCATAATTATTTTTTAATTAAGCAAGCAGGAAAGCATCTATTTTTCTATTTTGAGGGCCAGTTTTTTATTTTGAGGGCCAAAGAAGGTTTTTTGAATTATGGAAAAATTGTTCTAAAAAAACAGCGTTTATTGTTTATTGTTTATTTTTGTATATACATTTGTAAACAATATATTTTGGAACAAATATCGTCAACAACATAAAAAATAAAATGAAACACAGAGAGTTGTGAATTCATAAGTGAAAAGTGAGTTTTAGAAAAATCTGCAATCTGAACGACGATATTTTTTCTTTGTGTGATGCATGAACTGAAGATGCAAAAGTTTCGCGTTTTAAGATTATTTAAAAGTCATTTCTACCAAATATGTAGAATAATAAACTTTGCTCAATTTGCATTAAATGGTCATCAATTGAACTAATTGCTTTTAGAAACTTCACAATTTTTAAATAAGTTTAAGCGTATATTTTGCGATTAAATGCAGTTATTGTGCTCTAAAAGGCCAAATGTCGCTTGTTTTAGAGAAAAGTGGCCTTTTCTTGTTATAATTCTTCATATTAACATGTAGGAAAACAGACAAAAAATTTAAAAAATTATAGATATATGTACATATGATTTGCTACTTATTTTTCTTAAAAGTATTAGAAATCGTAAATGTGGCGGAAAAAGATGGTTCATAACCTTATGGATTCAAAACAAGTCGAATTTCTATTTAAGTTTTTTTCTCAGGTCCATGGTTAACGAGATACAGGGTATCAAAGTTTTTAAAAAATTGGTATTTTCTTTTTAACTCCTACAGTTTATGAGATATTTTGCTCAAATTTTTAACGTAGGCTAATGTTTAGACCCTTTACTCGTAGGTTAGGCGACTAGTTGTGCAAATTTACAGGGTGTTCTTTTTTCTAGAGGCATACCCCTCTTTACCCCCCCAAACTTTTTTGTGGTGCGCCACTGACTTCTAGAAAGCAAATTTTTCAATTTGCTGTTCAATTCAAGAATTTTCCGATCTCTCGTAGTTTTTTTATATCTGCCTTCGTTTTCGAGTTATTTGCAAAAATCCATGTATCTGAGTGATTTTCCATAAATTTTCTTATAAACTAATACGCTTTTTGAGTCCTTTTGTTCACATTTTTTTGTGAAAGAAATTTTATAATAAATTGAAATATTTGTTACGTTGTATGATATTATTTGGATTAGCTTGCAGCCGATAAACTTCAATTATTGTAAATTAAATAAAAGTAAGAAAAATACAATTTAAAGTTTACAGTTTGTCAGCCATCCCTATTTTAACTTCTTGCACTTGAAGCTTTCACAGAAAAATGTGAACAAAAGGACCCAAAAAAATGTATAAAAAAATGTATAAGAAATCACCGAGAAACCCTACATAGACTTATATTTTTGCAAATAACTCGAAAACAAAGACAGATACAAAAATACCGCAAGAGATCGAAAAATTCTTAAATTGAGCAACAAATTCAAAAATGTGTTCGGTCGAAGTCAGTGGCGCACAACAAAAAGTTCGGGGGGAGGTAAAAGGGGGTATGCCTCTAGAGAAAACAAGACGTTGTAGATTTTCACAGCCAGTCGCCTTACGGGTAAAAGGTCTAAACATATCTCATACTGAACAAAATATCTCATAAACTGAAGGAGTTAAAGAGAAAATACAATTTTTTTTTGAAATTTTAACACCGTGTATCTTGTGGGCCTGAGAAAAAAGTACAGCGAAAATATATTTAATTTTTCTTGGTCAAACGGCAACATTTGTTTTATTTTGTGTATACAATTACCTATTCATTGCACAACTATCTAACCAATACATTGACAGTTTACTCAATTTATATTATATTCCTAAAAAATTGGATACCTGCTTTTAATCTATTATATTTAATCTGCTTTTTCAGTACCTTTTCGTATATGTTTATAAAGTTTATTAATATTTATTTTAAAATCCGGCTATTTTGTTATTTAAGAAACGCTACAAAACACAAAATATTTGGAGCAATGATTTGCAACTTGTACATAATTAACTTGCAGTCAAAATAGTTATCTTCCGAGCAAAACATGATTCAAAAATGATTCAAACTGATTAGACGCTCGCCAACAACACTTTATCAAGTTGCTCCAGAACAGGATAGAATTTTTATCGCAGTCTCAATGTGGCTTGCAACAAAGCGAATTGTTGTCATTATTTAATTAAAAGCCATTTGCTAAATTTAGTTTATACGTAGCGATAAAAGGGAAATGTTCGAGAAAGTCATTAGCGATGTTTACATGACGAATTAAAGTGGCACTTTGCAAACGTGTGCGAAATGTAAACGATTGGTCATTAATTTTCTTTTATGTTATCGGTGTTTTACTTTTTTGAACGATTCTCTGCCAAATTTCGTTCAAATTCCCACATCCAAAAATGTTCTAAATTAACTTCTAGATAAGATGGACGGACAGAGTGGTGGATATCAAACGCAACAAAACATTTCCGGGTCAAGGGTTATAGAGACTATTATGTTTAAATTTTAGTATAGCACAGATACACACATTGAGTATGTAGAGAGCTATTGATTGAACTTTGGTTACTCCGTTTTAATTTCTATTCTGAAATTTAGGGGAAAACATTAAATACGAAAGGTGTGGAATACAAACTAATCTGAAATCTTAAAAATGTGTGTTCAACGTGTGTTCATGCAGCATTATGATTTTATAATAAAGATTTTTTAAGTTCGAAATAGATCTACTTTAGATCAACATGTTGTATTCCGATTGAACCATGCAGATTTATTTCAAATTTATTTTTATTTCAAGCGTTTATTATAAAGTGAAAATGGTGCATAAGCGCACATGAAAAACTTCTTTTCTCTCGCTATTGAGATTTCAGATTACTTTGTTGAAATACAAAGACTTTTGAATATAAATATGTTCACCTGTTCCAAACACACACCCACAAATTCAACAACAATCACCAAATTTAACTTCAATTATTGTCATAAAAGAAGCAAAAAAGCCCTGAAGAACCACAATCTATAGAGGAAACAATGTCAAGCTATGTTGCAGGAGCCTAAAAAATATGAAAAAACAAAAAAGGCATAGCGGAATAAAGCAACGCAAAAATGGCTCCTAAATCGCCAGCTTGCAGCTATCTATAATGTATGATGTAATTCAACACATTAAAAGACAATGTGAGAAAGCAATCCAGACGTCGAAAATATTAATGCAACCTTACACAAGAACATCTACGTCTGGAAAACGCAACGTGGTATTTATTATAACTAATAAAATGAAAATCTCAATTTACCCAAATCCCATGAGTGCAAATAATTATATTAAATAATTATGTTGAACATTTTTGAGTGCTTAAATTTGTCTTTTAAGTTGTATATTTAAAAAGGCCGAAAAAAACGCGGTTTTTAAATTAGTTTATGTTTTTTACAATAATCTTCTGAAACATCCTTTAATCCTAATCGATTAAGTTTTGGTAAACCGACTTTCTCAAATGTTGTTTTGAAACCTTAAAAGCTCGACTTTCCTGTTGGTTAATAGGGCTAGTTTTTAGGCCCTTTAATTGCAACACGTTTTACGTTATCCTTTATTCTGAGCATGCGCATTACTAAAGAAATAACCGTTTACGTTATTAAAGGATAACGTGTTCCTTTATTTACGTACGCGTAGCGGTAACGTTAATAAGCATCACGTTAAAAAGCAGAACGACGGTGCTGACATATTTGACTTATTTCTAATATTATTAATAAAATAAGCGGCTATAAAAGAATAAGAAATGTATTGTAAATTTGAATAAGACTTTTTCATTGATTAATTTACGCCATTATTGCGTAATTACGGATTTGATGTGAAAATTGTTTGGGCAAATTTGAACTTTGGCAACACTACTAGCATCACACGAACAGGTTCTAACTTCTAACCCATAACCTAACTATTTGATTTTGAATTCTTATTTAATGTGTTCGGAATGTGTTCGGAATATGTTCGTTCTGAAACCTAAAATTGATAATAATAAGATGATCTCTGGGTTCTAATATTTTCTAAATTAAAAATAGCTAGATAATGGCAGCTTCAATGCTTGCTTCCTCTTTTACCACTTTTTGTTTAATGACAATACAAACTTAAACTAGCTTTGAAACCTTTCCAAACAAAACGGGATAAGAAAACAATAAAGTGAGGTTTATTTTATTAAGAATGCAACAAACGCGGTATCAAAAATTAAAAAAACGCACTAACGTTATTTGCCTGAACACCTTATTTTTTTTAACCCTGCGCATGATCACAATAACGTTTAGGGTTTAAGGCCAACGTAATTTTAAGGAGCCTAAAAACTCTCTAATAATTTGATTCTTTCCGTTCAAATCACCTTATTATAGCAGCCCCAAAATTTGCACGGTATTCAGAAACACCCTGTACAATGTATACAATTTTGTTCGCAATATTATTTCAATCTCTAGGCATTTTAAGAAAACCCTTGGGGGAATGAACTTTCCAAGTCTTTTGAAAGAACGAAACTTTTGAAAGAACGAAACTTTTGAAGGAACGAAACTACCAAAAAAACGCTGCTAAAACATTTTCAATAAAAAAATATTTGTCAAATGTCACCATGCAATCAATCCATTACGTTTCCAACATGATTCGATTTAATCACCTAAAATCGCGAATTCTTCTATCAAAATCCTGTGCCCACCAAATATGCAGGCATTTCAACAGTCTAAGGGATCCCGATGTCTTCGACTACGATCTTGTGGTCATTGGAGGCGCCCCAGGGGGATTAGCAGCCGCAAAAGAAGCGGCTTCTTTAGGCGCTAAGGTTGTAGTTGCCGATTATGAGGCTCCCATCCTAGCTGGAGCTTCTTGGGGCTTAAGAGGCAGTGGGGCAAACGTAGGAAGCATTCAAAAGAAATTAATGCACCAAGCTGCCCTTCTTGGGGATGCTCTACAAGATGCTCAAAGCTTTGGCTGGAAAATTAGTGGTAAAACTGAGCACAGCTGGCAGAAGCTAACAGGCGCTCTACAAGCTCACTTACAATCATTGAACAGTACCAACAAACAGGAGCTAAGAGATAAAAACATCAGCTACATAAGCGGACATGCTAGGTTTGAAAGCAGCCGGATATTGCAAGTCGCTACAAACCAAGAAGAAGTCGCTCTTTCGGCCAAATATTTCCTGATCGCAGTAGAGGGGTTTCCAAAGTATCCCGACATTCCTGGAGCTCTGGACTATGGAATCACTAGTGATGATATTTTCACTTTGAAACACCCTCCAGGCAAGTCGCTGATAGTTGGCGCTGGTTGTTCTGGATTGGAATGCTCAGGTGCTTTGAACGTGCTTGGCTATGAAACAACAGTAATGTTTAAAGACTCCATACCTTTAAGAGGATGCGATCAACAGATGGCCTCAATTGTAAAAGCCGAAATGGAGAGCAGAGGAGTTCGGTTTCTACTGGAGTGCCTGCCAGAGTCCATTGAGAAAAACCATACTGGAAAATTGCAGATTCTATATTCAAATAAAACCAAGCAAAAGTTTTCTGCAGAGTTTGACACCATCCTGTTTGCTATTGGTCGACGAAGTCTTATCAACGAGCTTCAGCTTGAAAGGGCCGGAGTGCAAACCGACTTAACTAATGGAAAAATCATTGCGAAAAATGAACAAACTAATGTCCCACATATCTATGCTATTGGTGAAGTTTTATACGGTTTTCCCGATCAAACGCCCGTTGCAACTCAAGCCGGGCGTTTGTTATCCAGAAGACTCTTTGGAGGCAGTAGGGAAACTGTGGATTACGAAAACATACCAACGACCATATTTACTCCTTTGGAATATGGATTTGTCGGTCACAGTGAAGAAGAGGCTCACCAGCGATACGGAGGCTCCGAAATAGAAGTTTATCACAGCTTTTATAAGCCACCTGAATATTCGGTGTCGAAGAAGAGCACTTCCAACTGCTACTTGAAAGTGGTTTCGTCGAGGGACGCAGATCAGAAAGTTCTGGGAATGCACTTTATTGGCCCGCAGGCAGGAGAGATAATCCAGGGCTTCTCCGCCGCCATGAAATGTGGCTTGACTGTTGAATCTTTGATAAATACCGTTGGTATTCATCCGACCTTAGCGGAGGAGTTTACGAAAATCAACATCACCAAACGCTCCGGACGGGATCCGACTCCAGCATCATGTTGCAGTTAGTATTTTCATTGGAAAATAATTTTCTTACATGGAATACATTTTGGTCGAGCATGTTTTATTCAATCAAGTTATGTACTGTGCAGTCGAGTGTCCGTTTTATGAGCTCAAGCATCGGTTAAATTAAGGCAAAGTTGCAAATTTGGAGCAGGAATAACTTGCCTTTGAGAAAACGTTTTCATAAAATGCTAAGCTTCTGAAATTTAAATAACAACTTAAAATATGATTAACAGAAAGTCCTTTCTTGTGGTGCTGAAGGCTGCTCTTGTGTCTTCAACAACAACCATCAGAACATATTCTGCTTCCATCTGTTTCAGTTTAAGAGATCTCTTCACCATTCTTCAAAAAATACCCGTGCTCAAGCATATGGTATGGTCATCAATTACAAAAGAAATCGAATTTTGGGATTTCGAATATAATGTTGAATTTTTTGTTCGCATAAATTATGCAGTGTGTATACACTTTTCTTTCGTGTCCCGTAAGAAAATGATCAAAATGACTAGCATCTGACCTAACTTTAATTAAGAAAAAACATCTGCCGTAAGTAATTACGTTTTTTGAAATAACGGTAGAATTTTGAAATAACGATAGAATGATACGTGACAAGGACAAAGCTTTCCATTTATGCAAATTAACTGTGTTTGGATCATTTGGAAAGATTTGATTTTTTCGAAAACATCGACCTCTACCCTTCCGAAATTTTGGGCAAAAATTTAAATATTTTGCAAGAAAGTATTTGATTGAGTGCTTTCGAACCAAGGAGCTTCCCAATTACGTAAATTTACAATGTTTAGGCCAAAATTAATTGTTATCAAGAACTAGGCCTGGGTAACACTGTGTTGAGTTGTTGCCGCTTTCTGAGTTAACGGGTTATAACTCATCGGTTAATGAGTTATAAGTCATTAATTAAAGCGGATTAAAGCTTTACGAGACCCCAGACCGGAATTTTAACATCTAAAAAAAGGTCATCAACATTTTTTAAGAACGAATAAAGAACGAAGAGAATAACGTTTTACTACTTTGTCCAAACAACTATAAAAAAGAACATCTACATTTCCTCAGCAACAGAGCTCAAAGGAAGTCGACGAGTTCTCTTGGAGAAATACGCGGTTTTTCTGTTTAGAGATATTGACCTAAAAGTAAATAAACCCCAGTTTCCAAGAGTTTTCCAGATAAATGATTAGACTTTCGCTTTTCCTGTTCGGGAAATATTTTTGGAAAAAACCCAGAAAAAATTATTAGGGTTTTGTCCAAAATTCGATGCTGCAAAAAGTTTTTCAACAACTTTTGCACGCGGTTGAGAAGGAAAGTGTTCCAATAAAAGTTATCTTATAATTTTTCACACAAAATACCTGGATATTGTCAGTATTTTTAAGTCAAGTTACAACTAATGCGTTTTTTGCGTAGAAATAATTGCTTAATAAAAATTTTACTAAAACTGGAGACCTGAAATTTTAAAAAAACTTCAACAATCTTTAGAGGGATCACGGCGGCGAAGTTTCCAAATAATTTTTTGCAAATTTTAGCTCTGATCGTTTTTTCAAGATAATTTTAAATACTGTCGGAAAAAACTGAATAAAATTATTTGGTTTTTGTGCCAAATTTGAAGCTGAGAAGGGTTTTCTAAAGTTCCCTGCAAAGCGATCAATGAGGCAAATTTTCTAACAAAAGTAATATTATGATTTTTGGCCGAAAACACTACATTATACTAAAAAAGAAGAAAATTATCAGTAAATAATGTTTTTAGCACTTTTGATTGAACACTTTTAGTTCTGTGATCGGTTTTTGAGAAAACCTTAATGACTTGTGGAAAACGGGACAAATCTAGCTTCGCTTTTGTCCCGAATTCGACGCTGAAAAAAGTTGTAAAATTCTTATAAAGCTATAAATTTATCTTGTAATTTTTCGCGTAAAAGACCCGCAGATCGTCAGTATTTTTAAGTGAAACTGTACAAAATAGAGCGTTTTTGAATAGAAAGAAAAGTACTGAAAATTCAGTCAAAACTAAAAAAACACATTGTTTAACAAACTCTACAGTCTTTATAAATTATTACAAACTTTCGCTTATTCTGTTCATCTTTTCATAGAAAATTATTTGATTTTTGTCCCAAGTTCGAAGCTAGAAAGGGATATCAAAACTTTTTACAAAGCGGCGAAGGAGACGAGATACAAAATTTATTTCATAATTTTTCGCGAAAAATATCTAAAGATTGTCAGTATTTTTAAGTGAAACGTTAGAAAATTGAGCGTTTAGAAAAAAGAGTAACTAAAACTAAAACTGGAAAAATCTTATTAATAAATGGCTCTCAAAATAAATCTGTTGAGTTACTGCGCCGGTGCGTTGAGTCCACGCCACCTCCTAAAAATTGACTGAGTTACCCAGGCCTATCAAGAACTGAGATATTTGCAAAAAACTTGATCAGAAGGACGGCAACAATGGTTTTCAAAGTAATCTACAATAACATTACGTAAATAGCTTGAAAATGAAGAAAACGAACATATGTTCCATAGAAAAATATTGTAAAACCCATTATTTGATACCTAGGCAAAAAATCCTTTAAATTTGCCTTGTTTTCTTAATATCCCCAATAACATTTGAGAAAATTTTTGGAAGGCCCTATTTTTGAAAGAAGAAAGGCCATCCATTCCTGTTCATTCTTTCAAGGGTACAAACAGGCAAGCCAGACAAAACCCCCTAATCAAAAAAGTTTATTGGCTAGGCCTCCCCTAAACTTACCTTCTCATCACGCCCTTAAAAGACTCACATTTCTATGAAACATCCTGGATATTGAACAATTTTTTTTTAATATACATAGCCTATTTATGAACATGAGAAAGAAACGAAGTACTGAAAGATCATGCCTTTTAGCACATTTCCAAAAGTAAACAAATAATCGAAAGCTAATGGTTTTTGCTTTGTTTACTTTGGCATTAAACAATATACAGAAGGATGATTCAAACTCAATAACATGACCTCTCATCAAAAGATGAAAATAAATCTCTCTAAATTAAATATATTTTTAGTTTTTTCTATACCTACTTAATTCAGAAAGTATACAGATATATAAATGTCTTTCTCATCATCCTCTCATCTGATCCTACTTGGAATGTGTAAATTATTATACACACGTTTCCAAAAGTATATTCAAACGAAAAAACGTTTCTAATTAAAATAAGTAAAAAATATTAAGTACGTACTGGAACATTAACCATTACACGTGCAATTAAATAAGTAGACCGACCGACCGTACCAGGTGATATAGAAAATACATATAGCAAAAGCAGTATAATGCGATTTCAGAATCATTTGATTAAAGCAGTAGCGAAAAATAAATCCAACACTTATGGAGAAAATGTATTGGAACAGTCAAAAACGACTCGAGAAAATTGCCAACAAGTCCCTAAAAAAGACTTCTGCTATGTGCAAAAAGGGCTTAGGGTTACGACTGTTGCGCCAATAAAAATGTGACTAGGAACCGAGTATCTGAAAAAGGTATGTTCGTATAAGAATGTATTATAATTGCAAATATTAAAAAGAATCACAGAATATGGTAGATAAATATCTAGATTTATGCAACACCTTGACAAGCCACTAGATTTACATTGAGTAGGTAAAAAGCGACTAAAATAACAATGTATTATATTAGCTCAGTAATTAACTATAATATTAATAAAACATTGCATGTTAAAAAAACAGAATTGTGATCTAGTCTTGAGTTGTCGCCACTCGTAGCTAGTAAAACACGTAATTGGAAACAGCCCTTTTTGTGGAAAGTTTAATCAGTGGGATTTTGCACTACTATCAATATGAACTCCTTGTCGGGGGCTACCATAATCTCGTGCTTCTTGGATCGAATCCGGAGAAATGTCAGATCGTTGGAGGGGTCCAGATCTCTAACTACACTCCTAGCTTTATCAGCTAAAGAACTAATGAGCCCCGCGTATTGAACCGTTGTAGTATTGTCTAAAGTTGTCTTAATGGGGATACCTTCAGAGTTCACCACTATGGTACCCACAACTCCTTTGTGGGACTGGATTCTTTTCATAGTTTCTTCCACTTCGTTAGACATTATGGACGGCTACTTTCCAAACTTTTGCTCTATTTGTGTATGTTTACTCAATAAAAACACTTCTAAATATTGAATGATTCACTCGGTTTTGTCAAGTATGACGTTTTCTTGCTGAAGTCCTCTTCTTAATAAAGCCGCAATCAGCTAAAAAATTGTCGAGAGATGGCGCTAAAAAGTTGAAGAACATTTAAATTTTAGGGGAATACCAAACGGCTTTCAAAAAATATATGATAAAAATATGCAAAAGCTTTGCATTTACGCGTATATATGGAAAATAAATTTCTCACTATAATGATTCATTTCTTGTATAAATTGAACGCTAAGATATAGTCGTGTAATAGTTCGGCAACTTATGAAATGTTATGTTATAATTGGCTAGAACGGTGGACAGACTCGGATGATAAAGTTATAGTAGCAGTAGTAAAAATATTTATTTCTTAAGAACGGGCTATCGACCCATCGGTTTTTCTGCCCAACATAAAATTATATTAATTCGTAAAATCGGTAATACATCACCCAGTGTTTTGTACGGCCATGTAACGAAATTTTGCAGATTTGGTGTATCGTAAATAATCACTTGCAATCTAAATCGACTTTTTAATGCGTATGTATATGTATTAATTCTAAACTTTAAAACAGTGTTTTTTTTACACTTTAATACTACGTACTGGATTTCGTTAATTTGTGGCTCTTTAACTTTTCAAACTAGTTACTCATGAAAGTATGCGAAATTAAACCGGTAGATGTGGCGCCTTGTGTTAGAATTGTATTAACGTGATATTAACATAGCTGTGAAACTAACCATACATTTGGTGATGTTTTCAAGTACAACTGAATTTTAATTTCGAATTTTCTTAATTTTTTTGCTAAGATATTAAGCAATTTAGTTTTTCAATTTTTAATTCGATATGTCCAACCACGGAGCTATAATGCAGACGTATAACCAGGAATTGGTAAAATGTAAACGCATATTATAATTTATTCAGAGCAGCCAAAATAAAGTTTGTACTAAACTGAAAATACAGAATTTTATAATTTTAGTCTTAGAAACTTTAAAAATAAAACGTGTCCAAGTGGCAGAAAGAATACATCAAGAGGAATGTGCAAAAGCCGAGTTGGAAAAGACTATGAGTGACCTGCAAGATAAGATTAAGCATTGTGATGATAGTCTAGAGCAACATAAATCGATATATGAACATTACAATAAAGTGATTGAGGAAGTAGAAACAGGATTTAAGAAGGTACAAAGTTCAAAAGTATTGAGACGCAAACTTAAACATTTACATTTGGTCACACCAAAACAATGTTTTGGGAAAGCGCTTGAACACAAATTCTAAATGTATAAATATACTTAATCAACATTAGAACAATTTACTTTAAATACTCATAATGTCAACAAAGGGCAACGCAAATTAAAACCTTTACTTTTAACACTCAACATTTGTTATAGTTAAATTGGCGGTATTTTTGCGCCAATAAACAGTATTCGTAATATTATCAGCGTTCGAATTTTCTATTGTTAATAAATCCCCTTGGATTCGATAGAAAATCCCTATAAGTGGGCGACGTATCGCATTAAAACTAGTGACTATTAATAATTTTATTTTCAGATTTTGGAAACCAGTAAAACCTTACTTCAAGTAGCACAGCATGAAGTGAATAAATTGAATATAAGCACAAATAGTCAAAATGAACCCATCTAGAGTGTAGGTTCTTGAGAATCCACAGAATATCCAGTAAAGGTATGTATTGTTTATACGTCGTTCTAAGTGCCTCGGAGAGATTAAACTTTAAGTAGAGAAAAGGAAATACTTCAAATGGATGTAAAACTATAAATGTGGTTGCTCTAAAATATTGTTTTATTTTATTTTATGTTTAAACTTGCAAGCTATGGTTATATATTAAAATCATATAATCCAAAAATGAACAACGCTACACAATGGATTTCATAGCAAAATGTGCACAGTAATAAAAAAAAACAATACATATGTTTAGTCAAGCGTTTCCTATACTTTTCTGCTCATTCCACACAGCTACCAGTTCCTGAGTATTCGAATATCCGTGCGATGCAACCACATAATCATATCCTTTTCTGCTATAAGATCTTTTGTAAAAGTGAAATTCTTCCGAGTGAAATGGCTCGATTTTCGCCTTGTAGGCCAAAATGCCCACGTAAATGTCGTCGAATCTAAAGTGTTTAGTGTATAAGCTCGCATAATACATGTCTACTAAGGCAGCGTTTGATAAAATGTAGGCACCGCCTGAGACATAAGCTGGCCACATATGATACGGATATTCATCCAGGGAAACATACCTAGAAAATAAGAAATGCTGAGTTTATATATTCAAACGATTATTTGTACAATTATATTGGCACATTAAAACAAAACACAAATCTAAAATATTTAAATAAGTTCTTCTACTGTTTTAATTTTTTTGAATTAGGACGCAAATAATAAAATTGTGTATAAGTCCATTTCAGTCTTCAGTCTATTTATTTTGAGAAACCCGAAGCCTATTAGCAGAAAATTTCCACACTTCTTCAATATAAGTAATTCCCCAAATATAAACGCGAAAAACCTGTAATTTTTAAGTGACATTGTTTTGTATTGGGTTGGGATATGGATTTGCCGAAAATATAACATTTAAAGAATGCGACCAGCATTGTCATTTAATTATTATACAGAAAGAGAAAGTTAAATTAGTTTAACATTTGCACCATACTGTATAAACTGTTGTATTATTTAAATTAACTTTCACACTCTCAAGCTTATGTGTTCGTCTCAATAATTAAGGTTTAGAAGGTAATTAATTAATTAAAGAATCGTTATCTGCAAAGACCTACAGCTTCTAATGATAAATGAAGAACTAAGTAAAATTGACGGAAAAGCGCAAAGCTAAAATAAAATCACACATCATCGCATGGCTTGAATGTGGAGCTGCCATTTAGGCAGCGCCTTCATAGCATATCAAGTTAAAAAGGCCGAAAATTTAATAAAAATCCAGAAAACCACTGATCCAAGGCATTTAATTTAGCATAAAAAATTATAATGCGCACAATGATCGGATATGTTTATTATTGACTGAGAAAGTTGTTTTGTTTACGGCGACCATCCAAACAAATTGATACATAAAACTTGCCTTTAGAAATATTGTCGTACGAACTGGAAATTTCTACAACATTGTCAACAAGAAAAAAACTGGAATCGAACGGAATCATAAAGGACAACCAAGCGAAGCAAACGATTATATCATCATGTAGGTTCTGTAGCTCGGTCCGTCAGGAATGTGATAAAAACTTCGACATCGCTCGGGGTTTTCTGAAAAGCTGAGCAAGTATTCAGTTTCTTACGGCCAACCAAGGGATTGGGACCAAGTCTCGATCTTTTGTGTCTTGTCGGGAATATTTGAGTGATTTGGTGCTCTGTCCCTAAGGAAATTGCGGCAGATTATCATGTTCGTTATCTGCAGGATTTAGTGCAAGTTTTCAACCTGGTGTGATCTACACCAGGTTGAAAACTTGCACTAAATCCTGCAGATAACGAACATGATAATCTGCCGCAATTTCCTTCATAGTGTGTTTAAGTGTTCAGTGTAAAGTTCATCTAAAACAGGATTAACGATTAGACAATGGAGGATAAGGCAGCTTGCGGAAAGCTGGTAAGAAGGATCTTCCTCTTGAACTGAGTAAATTTTGCGAGAAGCAACTGAAATTGTATGGGTTTCCTATTTCTTCTCCATTTCTTTAGTAATCTGAAATAATCTGGGTGTCTGATATACTAAAGATTGTTTTCTTTCTTTCCAGGTGCATCATGCATCTTTCGGTAAGTTTGGCATTACTTTGCCCCTGGTTGCCATGTAGATCGCCTTTAGCTTTATATGATAAGCTTGTATTTTATGATATTGTTGCATGTAATTATTGTTCGACGACGAACAACGAGGGAGTTTCTGGATTCTGGATTGAGGTTTTCAAATTTTCACTTTTTTTTTCTTTAAAATTAATTTTAAGTCAAACGCTATCCGTTAAAGAATTAACTTTTTCTTAGTAGTTTGTTTTTATACACACCCTTTACAAAGAAATGAAAAATTTTCTTACAGTCTGCTGTAAACTACACTTTTTATTTCAGGTCAGTTTGTGTTATTTATTGGTATTTTTCCTGTGTGAATTGCGCCCCAAATTAAACGATGTTGAATACGAACATCGTTAACCTTTAAACAGGATGGTTGGATTTTTCAATAGGAGTGGAAATGTTAAATCATGTTCAATGAATTTTTGTCAGGTTTTGCCACTAACTAGACTGTTTTGATATGGACATTGTCAATTTAAATTTAAAAACAGCCTTAATGTTCTGTTCTCAATACGTCTTGGATTGTTTCGAAAGTTGGTTTTTTCTGTAAATTAATTAATTTAATTAAATTGATAATTATTAAAAATCGTCCGTGGTGTATTAAGAAGCTGGCCTACTTATTTAAATCTCGCGTTGTTTTTACAAATTTTACATTCTAAACATGTTATTTCTGCCAAACGATTCATGATAGGGAATATTAGGGGCCAGGATTCTTTCGACTATTCCAGTGTTTGCTCGTCCAGATCTCTTCAGGCTGTACCAAGCCAGATCAAGATTATAATCAGACTAGCGGTTGTTCATCTACATTTAAGCCACTAAATGGCGTTGAGTTTTTTGAGGAAAAATCGGGATTTCAGGGAATTAGTAGATGGCAACCAGGGTTGTAGTTTCCATTTTCAAACATTTATGCTGGTCGCATGTGCAGTGTGCAATTTATATTGAGGTTTTTGCTTAACTTATATTGCGGTTTTTGTGCCATTCTTATTACCGTTTGTGCGCGATTATAGTGATGGTAGCTTTAAAGCCTCTAGTCGCGTAGAGAATATAAATTTGCGTGTTTTCCAACCGATTGTTTGCAAATTTAGCTTACTTCCCGCTCAGTTCAAATGATCGCAGTTTGTCATTCACCCCGTGGTTCCCAACAAACAAGATAGTCATAGAAAACAGTTTACCGATTTGCATTTGGTAGTTTGTGCAAGGCTACTTAATCTTAGACTTATGACAACAATGCAAAGCACGAAATTAATTAAGTATTAATGTAAAAACGTGGTTTTTACTTTATTAACATTCTTATTTCTAATGTGATTTTTCGGAAAAATGTATAAAAAGAATAAAACTGAAGGTGCCCCATTTTTTAACTATCATCTGGATATTAGAACTTCTTATAATCCGACTCTTATGTCCAAGCCTGAATTTTAACTTCGACGGTCAATATTTGAAATAAATTTTTGGTAGGTATGTAGACTTACATTTATGTAGACTTACAAGTGGATTGCATCAGGAAACACTGTATCAATTAGTTAATTCGACTTCTAAACCACCTAATTCTAATTAAAATGATTAGTTTTATTCTCAAGTGTTTAATGAATAATGAGTTGATCGTTATTATTGCAATTAAAGTTGAAACAAAATTTGAATATGAAAAATATTGCTAGCATAATGTATTCCGACAGAAACTTACCATTTGCTAATATAATGTCTGTGTGGTGAAGATTGAAAGGCATATCCTGTGTATAATCGCACATCATCATCTAAACTGAAATCAACACCTTGCAAGAGCTGCCTGTGTTGAATCAAGTTATGAATATTCCCCAATGGTTCTTTTAAATAATTGGGATAATTTGTGGGAAATCTGAGAAAACGCAATACATTCTTTGTAGAAACATAGTAGTCGTCATCAACAAACATGTAAAACTTTGCATTCTTGCAATACTTCATTACCCATTCAAACCCTGACATGGTTTTATACGTATTGTTAAAATACGAATCAGTGTAGTTCGCTTGTATAATATCCTTATATTTTTGAGATTCTTCGTTTAATGAGGCCTGCATATTGTCATCACTCTGCAGGCCTATAAGGAACAGTGTTCTAATTTCCACATCTGAAAATCGCTTCTGAAAGCCCCATGAACTTCTTATGGCCACTCTTCGATCGAAATTTGCTACACTTGACTTAATTAAATAGACTAATCTCAGATCTGTTACTCCTCTACATTTAGTATCACAATTCTTGTAGTAGTAAAAATTATAATTATTTATCGTTGGAATATTCGGGGTCTGGTTGTTTTTCAGTTGTATCACCAGTGGTTCGATATCTCCGTCGTAGGGATAATGAAAGTTGCTGAAAAAATCTTTTTCGAAAGCATGGTGAAACGCTCCGAAAAATAGAAGCACCAAGAAACATGTAATGAGGAATAGTATAATTTTTAGTTTTTTTATAGAGCGAAGGCTTATGGTGTACATGTTATCACATCATTATTCGAGATTTTTTGTGGGGTTTCATTTGTGAAAAATTAATTTAATTAAAGGGAATGCTTACATATTATTCACTAAAAAGTTAGGTTATATGTAAACAATCGGTTATGTCAGATCAACAAGACTATAGCGCGTTTGCCAGATTTGGCTAGTTTTTTTATCAATTGCTCGAAAATATATTCGCGCTATTTTTCAAATATGTATATTATTCTATGTTTGTGAAAAGGCCATGCTTTTAATGGAAAACAGTTAATCCACACAATGAATAATTGCAGTAGCTTGAGATAAAAACATTTAAGGATTATATGGATAAAAATTAATATATGAAAAACCTAAACACATTTTTCCGTCACCATCCTATCGCCAGAATGTTGCAATGCCAGAATGCATGCAATCGAGTTGTTTTTACAATCAAGATATTAGTGATATTGCGCTTTTATTAATAAAAATATGTTCTGGGTTCTACATAAAATTGTCTCATTCTATCTCTCTTTGATACCAGTAAAGTCCTATATAACTTCCCTCATCTTCAAAGAGAATTGATTTGCGTCGAAAGCGCTACTATCATCTCTTATTTTAATATCCGTAAATCCTTGTTCATTGTTTCTTTTCTCTTTTAGTCACTCTAGTTTCCCGTAAACAAAAAAGACTTCGTACCGATTAAATGTATCTTGCATTTCTCTTTGATATCGATAAATATATTGCTTCTTCATTTGCGAATGTGAATTTAGCAAGTGATTTGGTTCTCTCCATAGGCAGTTTGCAGTTGAATGAAAGTTCGAAATACTATAAATATAAAAGTAGCGGTGTTTTCAATAAAACTGCTCAAACTTAACTTAGGATGATTTTTTTAATGGAACTATTTGAATAATAGCTTTTTAATTTGTTATGTAATGTGTAGTGTCTAATTTAATATGGTGTCCCTGTAGTACGTAAATATGGTAACCAATGGCAACGCTGCATAATTCAACTACCGTCTGTCGTCTTAAATTCATAAATGTCAGTTGATTTCAATCCATTTAAAGAAACGTATTAAAAACATTTAGTTTAACGGTAGAATTGCGAAAAACTTGTTTTAGAGGAATTGCTATCGGTATAATTCTCCTGAGTGTCTCATTTCGTTTACAAAGATGAATTTTATTCATACCCCTGCTAGGAGCACCTTCAACGCTGAAAGTAAGTGGTTGAGGAACATCACTCAGTTTTTTGTGTGAATTTGGAATTTTTTTTAGATGCTCATAGCAATATTCAACGGAAAGCAGGATCCAGTGTACTGCAGACCAGAACTCCGTTTCAGGATAAAGCGGTGAATTGTCGTGCTCCGAATTCCACTTTTAAAAAACCTAATGCCGATATACCCACTAAGCAAAATGCTAAATCGCTCCACCGGCCTACGCGAACAGATACGGAAATCTTAGAAGATTTCTGTTACACGGACTATGACGAGCAATTCGAAGAATTGTACTCCATTCCTTTGAGCGAAAATGACATTTTTACTTTTCTCAACAATTATCTTGATGCAGAAACACCACCCCCATCCCCGAAGAGGCTTGCAGAACTTGATACCTCAGTAGAGGAACTTAACGATGAAGAGTTAGAGCCAAATTACAAGGATTACTTTGGAACGCCTCTATTCAAAAGTTCATTTGAGAATGAAACTAACTTGTTTAATATTCGCTGCCCAACACCTCCTGTATATTAGGCATTGTTATCTGTATTACCGTGTGTTTAGCAGATGTTAACTTTTTTGTGTTCTATAATAGCTGTGCATATTGATTATTTGTTTAAATTGCCTGTAATAAAAGGTGTAAAATGAATTATATCCACAATGTTCAAACATATTTCTGAAGGCATTGTGCAAAGATCCAACGAACCTAGTTTCCAAATCGAGGAAACAATTTTCTGACGAATCTACATGCGTAATATCAATATTGAGTATCAAAACAAACCACATGCATTTGCCTGAAGAACATTTCGTTGTAAAGCAAAGGAATGTTTTACAGAATTTCAGCTATTTTTCTTGAAAATTAATCACACGATCAAAAATACTACAAAAAATCTCGGCATACGTAGGAGCATTTTGTCCAAATCGAGTTACCAATAAAATATGTTTTTTAGATTTTTACATTTCAAATAGGTTGAATTATGGGTTTATCCAGGAAATTGTGGTTGAATTTTGTACAGGCATTTTACCAAGGCCATGTATTTTCGTAGATTTTAAGTTTGAATCTGTCCACACTTATTTCTACGTTATGTATATAATTTCAATAAGTTCGATTTGTTACAAGTTAAACCGCCCACTCACTTTTGAATTCATTCATTCAAGATAATCTAAACAAGTTTTCTGTCAAGGTTCTTAATTTAAATTGAATATTTGCTTTTTGAAGTTATCAAATAAAATATACTTTTTTAGAATTTAAATCTTTAACGCCCTGTATTTCCAAAACCGATCAATTTTTACGGTAAATTTATATTTATACCACATAAATCTTAATACGGGAAAACAATTCGATTTGTAACCATTAGAGTAGCCTATAATAATATCAACGATTTTTCAAGAAAAATGATAAAAAGTCAAATGTTCTTTATTGGTACTTCTAAATATATATACAACCTCTTGGACAACTGCAAAAATATTCACGTTATCACAAAATACTGTTCAAACATATATACAATCAACTTGTAGAGCTCAAAATATACAGATAAAATGTTCATTTTCACATGAGAATCATACATTTTCTTATTCTAAATCTTGGCACAAAGACGACATGCATTATGGACATCGACATAGCTTAAAATGCAACAACAAACTTTACAAGGATCGTCGTGTTGTTTTCTTCATTGAACTAAAACCCCCAGAAAAAGTCAGGGTTTTCAACAGTAATTGTATGGTATAAAATTCGTGCTAATAACATGTGAGAAGTGAATCTGATACTAATTACAGATAGCCAGAAAATTATCATTTTATGATATGCAAGTATCAAAATATAATAGGCTGAGATCAGAAGCAAATGTAAATCGTAATCTCACTAACCCTAACTAAAAAAATAGCCTTCTATGTAGAAAATACCAACAAAAGTTGTCCAGTTTTGGCATATTTCATTTTAGTAAATTATTCAAATGTGCACATAATTTCTTCTGATATAAGAAATTATAATGATTCTGTTGTAACAACATAATGCAATTTTAAATTGATCCGAAAATTAAGAAATACCCTTCAAGTTTTTTAAACAAGTTTAAACATTGAATTGATGAGTCCAAGAAAGTTCAATTAGTGTGAGCCCTGGAAATATCCCATAAAATTCATGCATTTTATGTTGTCACTGTCGAAGTATCACATTGGTCCTTATAGAAAATCAGTATTTATATTTTTACACGTTTAGAACCTAAAATTTACACGAATGGGACACAATAAACTTGATGCCACAAGTAAGAAAGCTGACGCATAAATGAAGCTTCATTTATAGTTCTTGTTGAAGCGCGTGCACTAAACTCACGTTATTGTTGTTGCGGTTCACCATTACATCACAAATAGCTCTAAATTGAGGGAAAATCCAGCCATTACCAAAAATTCCCTTAATCACCCACTTGAAAAAAAAAACAGATAGGTCAGTCATTGTGAATTCGCACATAATGTGTCTAGGGACGTAAATTTTCACTCTCAGACCCAGAATCCAAGTTAGCCTTCGCTTTGCGCAACACTTGACTCGTCTTGTGAATTTGTTTGCAAATTGTTTTTTCAACTTGTTTCTTCCTTTGATTGGCCAAGTTGAGCTGCGTGGCTGTCTCTTCTAACGCCCTCTTCATCCGCAAAAGTTTTCGCTTTAGCTCATTGTTCTCTTGTGCCGTTTCAATCGCTTTCTGGCAGCAATGTTCGTTACCTACACATACATAGATTTTATATAACACAACAAAGGAAAAGTATGGTTGTTTTTACACTAAACAAATAGTTTGATAAAATGACGATGTTTGGAGTGTTTGAAGTGTTACGAAAATTACTTTATTATATAAATGCTAATTGTGCAACTACGGTCTACATGTTTTATTTTTAAGCTGTTCACACTTCTTACTTCCACGTTACGTATATAATTTCGATTAATTAAAAATTAGATCGCCTATTCACTTTAATAAAATGCATAATCAAAAGATCAAAAACGTTAATTAAATTAATAACTCTACTCCAAACTCTACTCCAAGCTGGCTTATTTTTTAAATTTAAATTGAATATTTTGATTTTAATCGTTCACCAATTATATCTATGCCGTTTCTTCCATGCCGATTTTTCAATCTTACAGTCACTGTCCACTTTTGTTTAGTTCTCACATGTTTGTGGTGTTTACACTTGATATTGAATATTACCTCACATATAATAAATATTATACCTGAATCGTTCACTTGCAGCCCATCATTTTGCTCATCGAATATGCGGTTCATACATGCGGTGATTTCTATAGTCTGAAGTAAAGGTCTGGTGGTATTATTTCCATTGTTTTCGAGGCTTGAAAATCTGCAACAAAAACGTACATATTCAATTTGAAATTAAAAAAAAACATTATAGCAAACTTACCGTCCGTGGTCACTTTCAATACCCAAATCCGGTGAAGAATTAGCTTCAGCTCTTTCCCCATCTGCAATAGCAGGTTGAATGGCTGATCTTGACCGAGAGTCTGAGTTAAAAGCTAAGTGTCTTCCCTCTTCTTCGCCATTGTCTTCCGAGCTGTACGTATTTTGATCGGAATATTGTCTAAAACAGTTATCAGTTTATTAAGTACAATTTTTTTGTTTAGTAACTTTTATCGACTCAACTGCAACTAGTTACTTACCGCCTATAATAGGGTCTAGAAGATCCTACATTGGATGGTAAAGTGGCATTGAGCCCCAAGCTAAACTTGGTCGATTCGATATTAATTAGCCGATTGCGTAATTCAGCATTACAGCTTTCCAGCTCGCTGATTTTCAACTCCAAACTGCTCTTCTGCCTTTGCAAAGTTGTCACTTGTTCTCCATATTTCTCGGTGACTTCGCTAAGGCTCTTCTGAATATCCGTTAGTTGATTCCTGAGATGCTGTTCTTTTTGATGCGTTTTTGCTATCTCTGTTTCCAATGCGTGCTTTGATTCGCACAATTTCACTCTTTCCTTCTCCAGTTGGCAGTGGCTGATTTTGGTATTCTTCAATTGAGATTGTAAAGTTTCTATTTCATTGCGATGTGTCTGAATGGTGCTCTGAATTTCCAGTTCTTTCTCTTTATAGGAGGAAATGGTGTTTTCATATGAATATACCACCGATTTCAATTCATTTAGTTCTGTCATAAGTTGTTCAGCTTCATTTAGTTTCTTTTCTACATCCACTTTCCTGATATAATCCCGTGTATACTCCTCTTGGCGGCACCTGAGTTCAGACATTATTCGTTAAACATATATTTACAATTGCGATCTTAAAAATCGGAAAAGTGGTTGTTAAGAATGAAGAAATAGTTAGGCAAACGATGGAAATTATGCATATCATAGCGCTTATTAGTACAGGGCTACAAAGTTCTAGTATGCATTTATTTATTCAATGCTGCTAATTTTATAAACGAATAGTTGTTCATTAAGGGTAATAATTTAACTGACCTTAAGGCTTCTCGAGCTTCTTCGATTTCTACTACATACTTTTCTTCCACCGCTTTCATCTTGTTAGTAAACAATTCCTCTGCCTCTTTTAGTTTAATAATTAAATCTTCTTCATGTTTTACTCTCAAATCCTTCTCCAGTTCCTCCAATACTTTTACCTTAAACCAAAACTTTTTTTTAAATAACCTATTAAAAACTTTTATAGTAGTTTTTCAAGCAACAATTATTACTTTCGGTATTAGTTTCGATTCTAATATTGATTTAATATCAATTTCGCATTAGTTTCCACTAAAAAGATTTTGTAGAATTTGCAAAAAAAATATTCTTGTAAGTTGGCATTTAATCTAGAACTAACCTTCTCTCTAGCTGCAATAACTTGGTTTTGAGCGTCAGTCAGTTGATGCAAATATGTCTGCGATTCCGCTAACACCTTTTCTTTTTCCACCTCTAAACAATTAATCTTATCTTGAATTTCCTTATCTTTACCCGCCATAATGTCTTCGTAATGTTTTCTGGATTCGTTTAGCTCGTCGACAATCTATAAATTCCACAATTCTCTCTACTATTTATATCATATAACGAACCTACAACAAACCTTTTGTAAACTGTCCACTTTCTCTAAGGCACTATTTTTCTCCAATTCGGCTTGAATGAGTTTCTTCTTGCTTTCTTGCATTTGTGCTTCCAATTCCTGTAGTTTATGTTTGTACATCACACTGTTTGCAAAGTTTTCGTCCTGAAGCCTATCTACTTCTAAAATGCGAAAATTCATTTCAAAATAGCAATGTCACAGCATTGGATCTTATATATGGATCGCTATTTAACAATAACTTTGATAATACATACCTTCATAGACCGCTGCTATGGTCCGTCTAGAGGGTGTTAATTCTTGGAAACGATCATCGTCTTCACTACTCTGTCGATACTGGTCGCGCTGCAATCGAGAAACGGGTGTAAATGGTAGCGAGGCAAAAGGGTCCAATCCAATTCGAGCTCTGAAAAGTTGAAAATAACGATAGCTTCAAGATGTACAACATACATTTTCCCATGGGCGATTGAATTGCTTAAACATCGTATTTACCTAGAAACGAGGCGATCGGGTTCACTCCATGCTTCACTTTCGCTCTGAGTGTCATTGGCTTGCCGCTCTTTAATGGTTGAGACCTTGGGGGTGGACAACAGATCGTTCTTCCCCTCTGCATCGTCGCTTTCGCTCACCTGATCAACGTCGCTTTCCTTCTCGTGATGCAGACGATTCAGTTCATTATCACGCACTTGAAGTTCGTTTTTCAGTTTGAACACTTGCTCTCTCAAAGCCGTGATTAGTTGTTCGTTGCCTGTAAAACAAAAATTTTATTCCAAAAACAGTAGTGTCCTCAGAACCTCAGTTTTCAAAACTATGTTAAACTGCTCCTCAGAATTTGAAGTCAGGATTATTTAAATAAATGGAAAATAATAGTTTGAAGTTAAATATATTTTAAATACAGCACAAAAATATGCGTGAATGATCAAAATGAATGAACTTGAATTGAAGAAAAGTATTCAATAGATAATTACCTGGCTGTTCGCTAGTTTTCTTCTGTAGATGAGACTCATAGGTAAGCGAAATATTTTCCGGAACAATACTAAAGTGAGATTCCTCATCCTCGTCTACACTCTCAATGTGAGATAGTTCTTGAAATACGGACCCGTTTAACAAAGCCGTTATATTAGACAGCTGAGTAAGGCTCTGTTCCGGATTAACCATTAAACTCATTGTAAAAGACCTACGAAAAATCATTGCCCATTAAGACTGATGTTACGAATCTTGGAATAAATTTCTACCTGGACATATCCAGACTGTTGCTGATGATTTCTCTGAGCTTTCTGTTCTTGGCCAAGCCCAGGAAGCCCAAAACCGATTTGTGTTTGAGCAAAGAGTCCAGAAACATGGCAAGTTCCTCTAATCTGTTGCTTAACACAGAGCAGACCTCTTCCATTTCGTGGCGTAGCTGTTCGCTTTTGTCGAGCTCCGATTTAATCGTCTGATTTTCTGATTTTAAACTATCAAACATCGCCGCAATCGTCTCAAGTTCGGAGACGCGCTTTTCGAGAAATTTCTTCTCGTCTTCAGCAACTCTCAATTTATCCTATGGAAATATTTTGTTGGTTGGAAAAGGTTTGTTAATATCGAAATGAAAGCTTTTGAAACGGCTTGTTCCTCATTATAGTCAAAATACATAGTTTTTGAAACCAGGAGCCCAACTTAGTTGAAATAAAGTTGAGTGATGCTATCTGGCTCGCTATACAGCAACAGAGAACGTATTTATATATATTTTTAATATTTTTTGAATAGGCACTAATGTCGGTCTATTTTAAATTATTGTAAAAGTCCCTCGGATACAATAAAATACAATAAACGTATACTTTTCTTCGGTGACAAAAGCTCAGCAGAGGCCCAGATATATTTTTGTAATTTAAATAGTTAGCTAACTTGCGTGCCTCGTTATCTCAATAATTAAAGAAATAGTAGACTGACCTGTAATAATAAAATAGTCTGAATGTTTTTCTTCGGATCTTCGCCTGGTAAAGTGGCGTTCAAGCCCAAACGGTCAATCTTGTCTTTGAGCATTTTAATCTGAAAATCTTTTCCAGATACCTGTTTCTTCAATCTATCCATTTCAGGGGATTGTGCCATTTGATCTTGCGCCATTTGGTCTTGCTTTAGATACATTTTCTCAATCTCAATATTCCTGGTCCACAGTTCTTTGTTCATAAGTTGGTTAAGGAAGTATCCGTATTGTCGTACCTGACCATTTAATCTAAAAAAAGGATGCGATGACGGCGCAAATTCTCCTATGAGAAAACACTTATCACTACAAGACGATGAATGAAAGTTTATCAGCCGACAAAGAAACCGTTGAAATGTGTCCAGTGGAATTGAGAAGAATTATACCTACTGGAGCAGATGAAAATGAGCATCCAATATTTTTTTTTGAGAAGTTCATCACATGGGTAAAACTCATGCTAGTTTATAAATATGTCGGCCCTTGTGCAATGAAAAACCCAAATGGCATTAATTTAACGATATAATAAACATAAAATTAAAAAAATTGGTGATTCAAATCTAAATATTCAAGAAATCGTTTCGGGACTATGTTTGTCCAACTGTGCAATACTACTTGAAACAAAAAAATTGTCCCAATAAAAACATAACTGACCCAAATATAAAATAAAGTTTCTGTCTTTAAATGCAACTGCATTACTTCAACCGTTAGATCAGCAATTTATTAAGACGAAAATTAAAATAAATTAGATCAAGCGAAACAGACGTGGAAACTCGTGTTTCACCTGAAAAACTCGTGCACAGTCTTGGACTGATTAATCTAATAAACCCATAGATCTAAAAAATAATCTAAGACTCTAGGAGGGAAAAGTTTGATGCACAAAATATAGCAAAAAAACTGCGTCATCAGGTTTGCTATAATAGAAAATATCTGGAATCCATAATAACCCAGAAGAYGACAAAGGAARTGTTTTGATCAATACAAAATAGATCTGAAGAAAATGCTAATAAATGGAAATCTGAAGATATTGCCAAAACTATACCAACACCAACAGTCGTATTARTTTAATTGATAYATGGATTRAAAGATGACACAAAAACGAGCACATTTAAAATGAAGTAAATAAATAAAAATAAAAAACAATTATYCCAGATCAACTAGAATTAAATTTRAAGTGATATTAGTTGCCACCTTTTGACGAAAACTTTTCTTAATGTTGGCTAAGTCATCAGAATATTTACCMCTATTTTCCTGAAACTCTATATCTTACCTTCGAATTTCTAGATTTTTCTCTTCCAATTCTTGTTTGTAGTTGTTGATTTTCTTCTYGATTTCAGCAATCTCTCTTTCGCGTTGAGATGTATCCAAGTCTTCGGGCGATTGGTTACTAGAAAGAAGTTCAAATTCCAAATCTACAATGTTGTTTTCCTTCTCTTCCAGGGTGTTTAGCAGCTGATCGTATTGCGTCCTAATGTATGCCATTTGAGAGTCTTTTTCCTTGAGTGTCTCCACCAGAACCTTGAATTTACGTTTCACAGTAGTTGTTTTTTAAGTTTAAATTTACCAATCACAATCCATTTGTTCAGTCCTGATGCTGCGTGAATGTCAAAGTTACCTCAATTTTTGCTTCTAATTCTACCGTGAGCCTCTTATATTGTTCAACGATGTCCGCTTCTCCACTATCGAATTGCTGTTTTTCTTCGGCCATGCTGAATTTCTGACAACAGGACAACACAAGGAGTTAACAAACAGAAAGGATAAAGGGCGGCGGAAGGGACATATGGGGGGCGATTGTGGAAGTTCAAAGGAGGAGTCTTGATATAGCTTTAAAAAAAACAAGGCAAAGTTACAACTCAATTATAGAATTTGATTATTCGGCGGCCTTCAGATGAACGGTATTACTAAGAGAAAAAATTAATTGAACTATTATGTGAACTACTTTTCACGATTCGATGCGTGTTTGTAACTAAGAATTTATTGTTGTTTTGGCGGATTTTCCATATTTGTTATTTCAAAAGTTTTGTGTGACTCGTGAAACTTTTCCCCATTTGCGTTACTTGCAAGGATAATTGAATGCATCTTCGAGAGTGTTCTGCGGTGTTTTTAATAATTTTTCGTGGAATAAACATATTTCCTGATTATACGATCTCGTATGTTAAGTTTTGCATGTGTATACTATTCGTCATAATATATTTGTTTATTGCAAAGTTATCCAAATTACTTTTGATCTAAGCTAAGCTCAATTAGTAATGRAAAACTTTATTTTCTTAGTTCACAAGAAATGGTTGGAAATGGCATTTTAATGGTCTTTTTGACTAGATGTCTGTATACCTAAGGCCAGTAAACGTTAAAAGCCGTAAAGGTTAAAATGTTATTTTCAAAATCGAAAATATTTTTTTCATCAAACATATAATAATTTATTCAAATACAATACTTTATTGTCAAAAACTCCTCCTTGGTATTTTGCAATAAAATTGGAATATCAAAGAATCGGTTAAAATGTTATACAAAAACACATGCATGATATATTAAACAAATATTAAAATCCATTTTTTCAAACAGAAAAGCCATACACCGCCATTGATTAGAAAGCTGCTTATTGTGCCGTTATTGTAAGCCTTATTTTTTTATCATATCTAACAAACATGCCAATCTGCTATACTACCAAATAAATACACTTTTTTCATAATTGTAGAACAGATATTTAGGAGTTCGTTAGATTTCTCAAGAATCTTTTTACACAACTCGTTGAAAGTCAAAGAGTTTCGTAACTGGTATATTGTTGGAATATTATCAAAGGGTAAAGAGTTTTATTTTAAAAAGTATGAATTGTTTTGTCTGTGTTTACACTAGCAATATACGGAAGACGATAAAGAGCTAAATTTCAAGTTGCTCTATAATAGAAAATAATACGTAATTACTGGTATTGAAACATACATTTTTCTGTCCCTTTTCTAGCAAACTGGTCCGCGAATAAACACATATATTATTATATAAATATCATCATTAATCTATTACCACTAAAAAGCAATTCATTAATTTAAAAAAGCATAAATATTAATAAAATAGGCATTAGCATTTTTAGATCTGAATGTTGACCATATACCAATTTCAAACAAGTATCTACAGAATATGTATATTTAACATAAAACACCATTTGCAGTAAAAAATGATACAGTTCTTCCGTTAAAACAACTTATGTTCACTATTTGGTTTCCAGAGATGTTTCTATTAGCAAAATCGAGTCGTATAAATGCGTACAGTCAAAATAAATATAAAATTATCCAGATGTGAATAGTTTAACAAAAATAAACACACGATACTTTATCACCGTTAAAAAATTGCTTTGTATATGGATGCATACCTACACAGGCGTATTAGAGTAGCTAAGTATCATATTTTGTGATGCGTAAATTCTTATTTGTGTTGTACAAACATTTTTTAGATAATGTCAGTGCATTCACAAAGTATCTAAAAATAAAATAAGCCTTCAGGTTATTGACACAAATAGCTAAACAACTGCCAAAAAAGCGTGGAAAACGTAAAATACCTTTTTTTACACCAAAACTATTGGCGAAGAAAAGCCATTATATGTGCAGATGCGATATCGGTATGTTACTTAGGCACTTTTTAACTAGAAATTAAAAATCTAAGACCCAACAGGCAATGTTGGCACCGAGCGTAAACTAGCAATGCCATGCATCCCGTTACACGACTGCTGGATTAAAAATAACTCTGACAAGTTTAGATCTGGAGAATTGAACCCATATTAAAAGGGATATTTATTTACAAAATGACTGGAAATAAAATCGGACTACGGTCGGGATAACGCAACCAATATCATTTATTCATAATCATTTCATCCAATCTCATTAATTTATTCATGATTAAATAATTTTTATATATGATGAGAAAGCGGAATATCAAAAGGTCATTTTGGTACTTGTACAGTTGTATTTAATGTTGGCTTATCAAAATAAAAGTTAATTACATTATTATTTAACGCTGAGTACATAGACAAACACAACAGGCGGTGAGACATCCCATAAACAATGCGGATCTTCTATAAGTCTGTAAAAAATAATTTTGAATTTCGTAAGGTTGATGAATTATTCTGCAAGTTTGTTGCAAGAAAATATGCGGTAATAATTTAAATAAGTAGTCAGAAGCTAGTACGTATGAGTTCTAACTACCTGAATGTACCTGATCATAATATGAATTAAGGTACAAAGTGTAAAGTGGATGGTGATAAAACCATGTGGATTCCTGTGGTAAAACAGCTTAGATAATTCGACTCCGGTTTTTCAGATATGTAAAACCGTAAGAAACGTTAGAATCTCGAAGAAAAATCTCTCAGTACAAGCAGGACAAATTGAACTCTGCACAGTCTAAACTCGATTAGTTTGCATTGATAGGGTGAACTGGTGTAGTGACTACTCTACTTAGTTTAGAGATTAGAAAGCAGGGTTCATATAAAAAACCGACTCTGAATCAACTCTACATATTTGCATTATACCCAAATAATTTTTTGTATAACATATAATGTGAATAAATTGAATAATTGAACATAACGACATCTGAATATGGAAACGCAACAAAAAGTTCAACATCAGCGGAACTGAACCAAAGGCAACTGATCATAGGTACGTTTGAAATTTGTTTTCGCATTGAATATTACTCAGTTTATTTGATTTGTTATTCACATTTGTGCATGTGTAGAAAAATAATAATAACTATTATTAATTTTGAAACTGTTGCATTGTTGGTGCTGTTGGACGGCATCGAACATAATTTCTGCGACCTTTCGCAAACACGAGTGACTTGCGTCCTCAGAGGTGTTTCGATCAAAGGCTTACACTGATCTGATGTCATTTTTCCAGTTGTTTGTTGTTTCAAGCAATGGCCGCGAAATGAGAACGCTCAAGATTACTTTTGTTACGATTCCATTTTTGTGTTTGTTTCTTGACCGATATATGAACAATTGAAGGATGTTTTTTTCTTTCTTGGGGATTCGGTCTGGGCAGTGGTGAAAGAAAAAATACTTTTTTGGCTATCGGTTTACGCTTTGAATGCGATTTATTGATGTGCTAAGCCTTCAGCTCATCATTAAGTGTGAATTTATTGTAGTTCGTCCCTTTATCTCGACACAAAAATGTTATTTGTAAAATTTTAACTTTTAATCCATGACAACCTGTTACGCGGCAATGTGACTAAAATTTAAAAAGATTGCAACAGTATGATTCTGGAGGGTTCCCATATTTCCTATGACTAACAATTAGCACCCTGAAGAAGGCCCCAATAAATCTCCAAAAGCTTGGTACCTAAAAAAGCTTTTCCTTATTTTTTCACCAATGCCCAGACCGAATCCCCAAGAAAAAAAAACATATTTCAAATGTAGTTATGTTCAAAAAAAGTTCTGTCATACAAGACATAATTCGTACTCAATATAGTATTTCAATATGAGTTAAATAGTCGACTATTTCATTTACCAGTCTTATTATAATCATTAACTACATCATTAACAATAATTGTTTATCCAATTCTTGGAAACGTTGTTCGTTGTTGAGCAAAAGATGAGACTTTGTCTTTTCTCTAAGAAGCGCATAATCGGGAAAACTCGCAAAAACATGTGGCTCAAATAAAACATGAAATTCGTATAATAAATAAGTATAACCGGAAAGAAACTACCAAAAACTCTTAAATTCGGCTTAACAGAAAAATCAACGTAATTTAGATGGGAAATTTGGTGATTAATAGTAAGTAATATTTGTTGTTCTGAATATCTTCTTGTCGAATAACACCCATGGTGGTGGTTCCATGTATTACACAGAATATACAAGCGATGTATCTCATGAGAATTGTTATATATTTCACTGAAGAAATAGCTTTGCTTCAAATGTTTCTAATGTAGACTTGGTAAATATTCTTGTGTGTCTTTAAAAGGCAATGCCGACGAAGGCATTCTGATAAATACTATATATCATCTCTAAAATAAATTTGATTTACATGAAAATCTGACAATTTCTGATTTGTTTGCCTATGGCCAACTTGAATATATGAAAGTTTGTTTTATTTTTAGACGCACAGTTGAAATCATGTACCATTTAATCAACTCAAAAAGCTGCCAAAAGTAATTTTCACTTGCAACAATGCAGAATGTTCAATTTACATGTTGTTTTCCAAATACCTTGCGAAGTGATATATAGAATTTAGTCAAAGTACAAGATGCTTTTTTCCGTTTAGGCAGTTTAAAATTCGACCGGGATAAACAAAAATAACGCTGAGCCATAATTAGAGTTTAATCATAGTCAGAAAAATAATTTTAAAAAAATTGCACGCAATCTACAAATGCAAAACTACGGCAAACAGCAAGCAAACTATTAAAAGCACTAAAGGTAAGCAGGTAGTTAATGCGGAAAGTAAAACTGTCCGAAAAGAAGATGTTTGCAATTAAAAGGAAGAACTACCTCAGATGGCTGCGGCGTTCCTACTCTCGTGTTGTTCTCTTCTAAGACCATTGGCTGAAGCGGACCAGCGGCTTTATCCTTCTGCGGTTTGCACACCACGTTTTCCAGTTCCTTTTCCAACTGTGCATTGGTTTTCTTAAGTTGCTCGATTTCGTCGTTGGCCTTATTCTTAATATCGATCATACTCTTGATAATTTCGCAAGCCCTTAGTTGATCGCATTTCAATTTCATGATTTTTTGTTTTTGAACAAGGAAGTCGTCTTTCAGAGAGAAAAATTGTGTTTTGATGGAATCGTTGTCGCCGCCATCCATTAGAAGCTTTTCGAAGTTGACTAAGCTTTTGCCATCAGGTGTTTGCAGTACCTGAAAAATAAATTTTAATGTTAATTCAGTTTTTATGCAAGCTGAATGAATCATCTTGTGAAAAGACAAACTGAAGGTTTAATAACATGAACTTACCTGATTTTTTGTGGACGGCTTGGCCTTACTGGGTTGTTGCGTTACCGGTAGAGGTAATGCGTTCTCTTCCGCACATCCTCCAGATGTTGTTGCGCTTGGAACTGAAACAAATCCATCGTCAGTATTCGACAGGTTTTGGTTCTCATTGCGACTTGTGGAGACCGCTATGTTTTTATTTTTCTTCGCTTCAATTACGGCCGCTTCCACTTTGGCCTGCTGCTGTTTTAACAGCTCTTTTTGTTTGCGATTCTCACTCTCCAATGCAGATATGCGCATATCCATTATCATATTATTGCGATCCAGGACTTTTTTCTCTTTATGGAATTCTTCGCGATCTTGATCGAATTCATACTTGGCCATCTGCAACAAAAATAACAAAGTAATGTTTCTGTTGTGAATGTGTTTGAATCACATTGAAGTTACTATTCAACAACCTGTGTAAAGATAGATTTATCTGGAGACGCAATAACTCAATTTTGAAGAAGCGAGTAAAGTATTTAGAATTTTTTTCGAAAAGTTTCGAATATAAAACACAATGGTTTTGTACTACAAAATGAGACACGACAGTCATATTTACCTTTTACTTTTTCTGAGGTTTCACTGTGCTTCAATTAGTTACACACCCTGGCCCAAATGGGCTTCCTTATTAAATGCTTAATAAATATTAAGCATTTAATAAGGAAGCCTCAGTTTAAGATACTAACGAAACATTCTTTATACTCTGAAGAACAGTCTTAACATTTTTCAAAAATTGCAAATAAATGCCAAATTTTCAAGATCGAAATGTCCAAAATAAAAAAAATGTTTTGCTGAATGCGTAGTTCATAATGCTCAACAATAAAACTTTCGTAAACTGAAACCCAACTGCAATTTTGCAAAAACGCAAAATAAACCGTTTTAGTCCTTTATATAACTCTTTCCACTTAAAATTAGGTTATTTGGAGATTCTTGGGGTTCTGCCCCTAGAAACTGAATCATCCTGCATATTTTCGAGTCACAGCCTTTTACAATGTATAACCATTATGTTTTGATTGGAATAGTTAAGGTATACATTTACCAGTTTAAATGTGAAAACCCAACGCGACATTTAGAGCATATTGCAGCTATACCTCGCAAAATAAAGTTATTAGCAAATTTAAAGCTATTAGTGTTCAGAAGGAAAAAGCTATAATCTCTTAGTGAAACTGTTGCTTAATGTTTCTCTACGACTTTACAAAGATACACACTGCACAATTTTTCCCTAGCTGCTAAGTGCTTTTCAACATTCATTTTAGCTTGTAACTTATACTACTCTACATACTTGTTGAATTTACTTTGAACACTTACGGAATATTTCTGATTAATTGCGGCCAGCTGTGCCTTCAGCTTATCTTTAGCTTTTTGTTCTTCCTGCATTTTGGCCAACAACTGTCCGTTCTTCAAATGTTGCTTAGCAAGTTTTTCTTCGTACTCTTTCACCTGATTAGCAAAATCTATAAGACGCTCATTTGCCGACGAAAGCTCAGCATTCAAGCTATCAATTGTTTGATCTTTATTTTCGCACTCCGTTTGTAAAGAGTCGATTTGGAGTCGCAGATTATCCGCTCTGTCGTAGACGAAATTTGCCAACTGATTTTCCTGTAATATTAAATTATTTAATAGCGAAATTAAAACTGTTGATACATATTTTTTTAATTTGATATTAATGGCATTTTCCTAGACATGCGATTTTCATATACTCATTAGAAAATATTTGTAAGCTGGGTTGGCAGTTGAAGTCACCCTAAAAAGTTATTCTTCAGTAGTGAAAACATAAATTTATTTAAATAAGAAGAGAGGAAACTCCACTGCACTGGATAAAATCCAATGAAACTATCTTGTATTGTGATTTGTCACAATTTCAGGGGCTGAAAAGATATGAAAATCATGATTGTCGTCAACACAAGCATCACCAACAAGGGCATGAGAAAATAACTTAAAAAAATAAAAAATAACTTTAAGTCAGATTTTTTACAAGAATTTTAAACAAGGGATTAAAACTAAAAAAAAAAAGTACCTACGTAAGTAGAAACATATTTTGCATCAGAGAATTATTTTTAACTTTCTATCCAAGTATATTTATGTTTATGTTAAATGAGACAAACTCATCCATGATGCATTATGTACTATCACTATTCATATATATTACATCATATTTATGTAATAAAAAATACAGGAGAGCAAAACCATGCAATGAAACTGGTGAAAAAGCAGTTAAAAGAAAATAGGTAGGGTGAGCATACAGTAAAATTATTACGGCAATTAAATAAATTACAGCTCAGTATTTTAAAGGTAATTATTTGCAGTATTAATTAATTACGCGTTAACTCATATTTTGATGAAAATTACATTGAAAAGCTCCAAAAGTCCCTTCTGGGTTAATTATTCACGAAATAAATAAAACCTTAGCTGTACAAGTAAAACATTCTGATGAACCTCCATTTAATATTATGTTCACACGGCTGAACAAAAAACACACAATTCCACACAAACACTAAAGTCTTGAAACGAAACAGTTTAACATGTTCAGGCAGCGAGACAGTCAGTCAACTATCTAAACATATAAAATGAATCAAGAAATATTTAGATTTAGGTAAATCGGACCATACGACAAAATAAAATAATATTTTTTTAGTTACAAGGATCGATTTACAAATATTTTACCGATAACGGCGATATAAATATTGCTTGGCACTATGAATATCGAATAAAACTATTATAGAATCAAGCAAAAATGTGAAATGTTTTCTACTTCAAAGTGAGTATTTTTAAATGAACAATTCATAGTGTAGGGCTTTCGCCTCGCGGTAGTTAAACTGAGAAATACATATAACTGTAGAGTTGCATAAAGTCTTATGATCGATTTTTCTTATTCCTGCCCAAACATTAACTCTTTCAGTATATTGTTTGTGTTGTTTTATGATGCATCTGAGATTTTATTTTGCCCAATACCGGTGATTTTGTCTATAAACTAGCCCCGTTAGTGTAAAAGTTGATTCTTCTGAGAAAAAAGTTAACTTGATTTGGGAAATCTGACTTGACGACTGCTTCATTATTCTCATGATAAGGCATCAATTATTTGGTGTATGAGCGAAAATGTTTCTCCATTTTTGCTAATTACTGGCTTACTCATTGGTTTCGTCGGATATTTGTTGTTAAATAAAACATGCACCTCATGTTGGGTTCATACTCTAACATTTTAAGAATTATTCATCTTATAGAAAATCGCATTACTGTTGATGTAAGAAATCAATCCAAAATTGATAAATTTAGAATATACAAGTTTTAGACGTTATTAACACGTTTAAGAAGATTCCCATGCATACACATAAGCAAAAATTCCTGATGGTGTACAAAAGCTCAGCCGGATATATATGGTGGCTGTTCATCTTTTACCATAAACATATTTTTCCAATGTAATTTTTTTGCAAACCAGTAAATATTGACATAAAGTATGTTATATAGAAATTCTTAAACTTTTACGTAGCATCAAAAAGTCTAACAAAAATTAACGGTTCTCAATAAAATTATTCTTCTTAAAGCTCGAATATCAATTTTTGTATTTCAATTACTGAGATACGTTTTTGAGTATTTTTCCAAAAAAATGTGCTTGAGCTTTGTTAAATATATTCCTTCTACAAGAGAGTCGTTCTCCCTAATGTCCAAATAGCAAGGACGATATGATTTACAAAGAAAAAAGCAGCAAATCAACTACAAGACAACATTGTAAAGTGAAGTGAAGTGAAAATTCTTTATTTTCTCTTAATGCGCTAATTTTGAAAGTTAATTTGTGTTTTGTTCCGGTAGTTTACTTTTCTAAGCAACAAATATTATAAGTATTTTTCTTTATGAACTGATTGTAGATAATGTTTAAAGTAACATGCTTGCATAAAGCGATGCAGGTAAATCACAAATTCGAAACAGCAATGGACAACAAACAAAAGCAAAGCCATTAATTTAAAAATAGAGTACAATACTTTGATGGAAAAATCGCCATCCTGACCATATCGCTTGTCTCTACTTTTCGATTCAGGAATATATTCGTGAAAAAACGGCTGGTCTGTTTCAGAATGTCTGCTCGACCCGCCAGATTTGGTGCATGTTATATTACCGGAGTAACTAATATCCTGGAAATTGTATGTACCAATTTTCGCACTAAGAACATATGTGTTTTTTTAGTTGTACAAAACAGGAAACACTGAGAACATATGTTTGAAAATGGGGTGTATTGTGGCTTCACTAACCTGTAATTGTGACCTCATCTCTGCCATTTCCTGCTGAAGTTGAGCCATTTCCTCTTCCTTGCTTTTAGCCATTTTTTTATGTTCATCTTCCACAAGTTCCATTCCTTTTACAGCTTGACATAAGTACTCGTGCTTCTGGTTCAAGTCTTTCTGGAGATTGGACACTTTTACCTGAAAGTTAACATGTTTACATAAAAGCTTTCCATTCTCATTTGAATGGCAAATGGAAATCTTAAAATGTAAATTTTGGAAAATCAACGACATTATTCAGACACTGGAACTTGCAATCGCAAATACAAATAAAATTGTGTAATAAATAATGGTTAATACATTTTAATAAAGAGCGTTTAAAAAGAAAACTGACGATGAAATCTTGAGGATGGATGATAAAAATAGTTTCTTCTATTAGGCTCATTTTAACTACTTTGATTACTTATCTATCAACACAAATAGCACTTTGACAATGAAATAATCAATATACACAACACTTTAAAAAGCGAATGTACTTTAAAATGCAAATAGTATGTATTACAAAAAGACAACGTTAAATGAAAAACCATTAAACTCTATAGCTTGATAAATTAAAAGAATTAAAAATGATTAATTCATTCTTCTTATATGAACTTAAGTGAACACAAAAAACTTTTTAACAGCAAAAGCGAAATTTGTAATCATATTATAGGTGTCCTTTTATGAACTCTTGTAAATTCAATAATATTACAAGCAAATGTGTTGAAAAATATTGTGCAAAAAACTGAAGTGAGCTAGAAAGCTGCACAGAAAAGTAAAACAAATCTGTCCGTACCTGTAATTCTATATTTTTCTTAATAATATTTTCCTTATCCAAAGTAAAGTTGGTCCCCATCTTTTCCTCCAAAAAGTATATACGAAGCTTGAGGTCGAAATTTTCTTTTTTAAGATTGTTGAGTTGATCTTCCAACTCCTTGACCGATCGTCCTCGCGTCTGACCGCCCAGCGACCGTAATCCCATAGTAGCTAGAAAAAATATACAAAATTAACTAACACACATCAACAGATCTTATTTTATTTGGTGAACAAGTGAACCAACAATATAAATTTTCCATTTTCAAATCGCAAAACCCTTACGGCTATCAAGTTCATCAAAATCACCAACGGAGCTGTTTTTTGAACTGGGACAGAACGAGGGAGCAGGAGATGGGCCGTCGCCCTCCTTAATGGAAGGCAGACTGCTTTCTCCAACGCAGCTTTTTATAATCGCCATTAAGTATTCGTTCGACATTTCGGAGTTCTTTCGGCTTGTTATTTTTTAGTTGTTCCATTTACACTGCAAAACAATGTAAGAAATTGACTAAATCCCCAGGTTTGCCATAGAAAAAAATAACCTTTAAAATACAATTTTTTTTTCAACTACCTATTGACCAAATATAAACCTGTCTTTTGCAAGTCCGTAAATTAGGTATTTTTAACGCTTTCAATGCTTGAATTCAGTCAATTTCAACAGTTTTTTCCTAATTATTCGTGACAGGTATATGCTAAACTCTAAGATATGCCAATCTTAGTTTATGCCATATTTCTTCAAATAAATTGTAATATTTTCAAATGCGACGCGAAATTATCTTTTTTTGTATTTCAATATGTTTCAGGTAAAGTTTTTTCACCAGTGCTGACTTTTTTCAAATATTTTGCAATAACAGTGGTTGCCTTTAAAATATCTCAAATTGTAAAGAGGGTACTGTTTATAAGCAATTAAAAAGATGGTGTTTATAAACGACTTTAAGCTCTAAAAAAGCTTTATTTTAGTCGTCACATACTTGTTAAGACTGACACAGTGGCCTAAATAGTAGTAAAGCACTCGCCACTTGTCAGGAGTTTAAATTCCTTGTTGATCAAATTAGAATTAGGAAATTCCATAGGAATATCGTCCATATGGATTCAATTTGGCGATGAGAATTGAATAGTGGTAAAAAATATTTGAACTATCGGAGAAAAATAGTTGACTAACATGTTACCATGCGTTTAGTATTAATTAATCAGATACTAGATTTCATTACTGACTCATTAACTCACACCGAAAACTGGTTTTTGTTATTTAATTATAATTTAATTTATCTAAATAATCACCAATAAATTGGGAAAATGAGAATTAAAGTAACAAATAAAAGTACCGGGATGGAATATCATTTGACTTATAACATCCATTTAAAATATGTATATTTTTATGCATTTATATTATGTCATTTACTTAATCAACTTATAATGTATGCTACTGGTTAATTGTTGGTAACTGGATTATTGGAAATTCATTCTTCAATTTACTGTACTGTGTAAAGAAATAAATAATCGACAAGCGTGCTCGAAATGTATATTAATTCCTACATTTACCGCTCAGTTTCAATGCACCCTATTGCTTTTTTGGGTTATTTTCGTATGGAATCAGACAATTCATGCCTTTGTGGTATTCTTTTCAAACAGATAATCAGGAAATATTTTTACTTATATTGCTCCTGAATTAATTAGTTCTACTCGCGGTGCTCATCCAATTCAAATTTTCCACCAACCTGGAGTTTTTCCACTATTTCATTAGACCTTGCCTAGACTTTACCTGTGTTTCAAGTGTTTAATTTAAAGTTTACAAAAATACTTATTACATATTCGGCGCAGAATGGTGAATGTGGTACAGAACACTTTGCAAAATATTTCTGTGTTTAACAGAAGTCAAACCGACTTTAAATACAATAAATGTGTAGAACTATTGCCATGTTGAATTACTAAGCCATAAATAAATAATTCATAATCAGTATAGTCTGACTGTTTAATCGTGTAAGGCAACATAATCAGAGCGCTGACAGAAAATGAATAAGACCCCGCCGTAAAGATTTTGATAAATCGACTGAAATATCACTCGAAGAATGAATAAACTACAAGCTTGTTAATGTGTCACATGCACTAAAAACCACATTTAAGTAAGCAGTTCAGAAAAAATGATACAAGGCAGATAAATATTTAACCACGAAAAGCACGCACGTTTGGAATATCAAAGAACAAACAAATTGCCAATCATATTCATCTTATGTGTATGGTTTATTTTCAAATGTAAGACATTAAGAAAGGTAACATTTTCTGATTTTCGCAAAAAGTTAACGTTTTTTTTAGCAGTACGCTTAGATGTTGTTGATATTAGCAATTTTAGAAGTAACAACTTTATTTTCATTCGCTTTGGTTAATCATCAACTACTTAAAAAGAATAAAAAAAAGTTTTGTAAAACTCCTATCCTGGCTGCTTCTTGGTTAAGAGTTACAATTATAGTTAACAAAATGTAGGACAAAGGCCTGAGAATGTAAATTACGTCGGATAAGTTTTCTAATTTGCAAATGACTGCAATGCTTTACTGTAAAAAATACATATTTTAACTGGTTATAACTGATAATTTCGCACCAAACTTCTATTGAAAATTTGATCCCGATGATGGATTGTAAATCAACTGAAACTTATTTGTTGCCTGAATACTTCAGGAAATTAAAAAATGAGCTACATAAATGATAAAACTTAGTAATGTATGAAGTTATACTTATGTTTCTGTCCGCATGTTATAGGAACTGCACCTTATAGTATGTATTTCTCACTAATACTCACGAATAATTTCGAAACCAAACTACTACTACGTCGGAAAGTTATAAAAAAATCTTAGTTTTAAAACCACAAATGCCAAATTGTTGACGGCTAAAATAGGTAAAAAACACTTCCTACAATGCTGCTAGCGAGTGGTAGTTTTATCAAGGAATTAAGGTACCTAACACCTATTGCAAATTAAAATTGGTTTGAATTCTGTTTATTCATTAATTTCTGTTTCTACCCATTATATCTAAGGTCAAGGGAACGGTCTAATTTAAATATGGGAATATTTGAATATTAAAAAGTACGCGCTGTTTCATTCGATATGCAGTCAACTTCAAATAACAAGCACATTAACAAACTGAAAATGTGCTTTAAATCATGAAATTTGCCTTATGACTGTTTATACGTTGATGCTTGGAATCAAAAAACACAAAATATATAACTTGACAACATTACATGCCAATTTGACTGAGTAAAATACATTGATCCAAAAATAAACTGATTGAATTTAGATAACAGCAAAATCTAGTGAATCTTAATCGGGTTAAAAGTGCTATAAAAATATGCTTCTAATGTTTCACACAAAATATGACTATGGCACGTTAACGGGGAAATCAAACTTAGTTGGAGCAAGTTTGTTGGTCTCTTTTTGCACATAAAAAAATTTATGACAACCAATTACCGAATTTATGTGTAATAAAATTGATCTAAAGTGTTGGAAGTCTGAACTTTTCATGTTATATACATGCCACCTACGTGTGTGCTATTTTAAACAGGAGCTCTGGAATAACAAAGATTTGCGTCAAATTTCCAACAACATTTTGGAGGTTTCAGAAAATCTTACATTCGCGATTAACGATTCATTTCATAGAGGTTGCATATTTTATTACTGCAGTTTAAATCGATAAAAGTTAATTTTAATTTATTTTTCCGCAAACTTCTTGTGGTAACAGCAGGCTCCAGCTGACATTTTAGATGAGATTCTCGTGTCTAATTGATATTACTTATCTTTAGTTTAGCAACTAAGTAATGTTTCCGTCAAATAGTAGCTAAAAATAATGAATTTATTTAAATATAAAATTAAAATAATGAATTTATACAAGTGTGATGTGCATCTAAATTGTAATTTTATGGAAATCTAAAATACTAACAATCTGTCTGTGCAGAATTCAGATAGTATAAAATATAAAAGAATATATAAAAGTACATTATATTAGGCACCAGGAAAAAATATTTCGGATAACACCAGGTGAAGTGGAAAGGATTATTTCCCTTTTGCAATAAAAAAAAACACAAAATACATGGGACAAACACACACCCACATGTATGTACTCTATATAAAGTAGTAGTAAACGAAAAGAAAATGTACAAGTTATATTCTAATTAACTTTTTAAATAAAAGTTAGTTTCTGTTTACTTAGGTTGTTTTACTGAATAAAACAAATTTACAATGTTCTATACAGAGTTTACTCATTGTCTCCAGCTCTTACAAACCGTTTGAATATTCTGCGTCTTTTTCAAGTTATTTGAAAGGACATTGTCAAATTTATGAGCTAAATAACCCAAGACTAAAAGCAAATAAAAAATGTTAATTAAAAAATCGAGTAGAAACCGTTCTAATCTAGAAATTTTTTAAAATAACCCGATTTGTACCTGCTGTATCTTTTCGGGCGAGTATTTCAACATAAAACGATATGCTATAAATGTGAAATAATGAAAGTTTATCAAGAAAATTCAAATGGCAAAGACAATAGATGTCGGAGCTGCCTAACGAAACCATAATATTAACGATTTAGATTACGAGAAAGTTGTACGAAATACGTAAAATTATTGGACAAAACATTAAATGTTTCGTCTTGCAAACATCGAGTTTCTTAGCTTTGCATCAAGCGTGAATCTTCCAAATCCCTGGGTACTTTCCATAAAAAAAAATACAAATAGGCACCACCATCAATAACGAAGACTCAATTCGAAAATTCGTATATGAATTCAACAAAGAATTTTATGTAAAAATTAACATTAATGTGTCTCTCAATTGCATGTAAAAGAGCATCAACTGCGTGAACTCTATTACAACGTGGACTTCAGAAAGGCCTGAGCGCTTTCAAATGGATTTTGTATTTACATTTTAACTCTTTCAGTAAAACCATTGGATGTGATGCGGTGATGGATATGCGTCTAGAGTTAAAGATCCGATAAACAAATATATTATTGCTTTGGATCAATTAATTCGCAATTTTTATAAATCACTCAACCCTCATGATTGTCAATCTCCAGCCGTCGAACCTCGCTAAGAGTCTGGACTTCATGGAAAATTGCCAAAGGCGAATTTATTATTTCAATTTATCTTGAGGCGAATTTGCGTGGGCTTCTTCTGGTCAAGTAAATTAAAACATACGACCCAAAAATGCCATCTATTAATATCGAATAATTATTACGTCAGAACTATACTAACAAAACCTACGTTAATCAATATTAAAGAACATACAGTAAAAAATAAATACTAATACGAAACCTAGCAGCTACTAAATAAAATATTGTGTAACTAGTTAATGCAGGAAAAATAAATGTTCTTTAATAGATGGTTTAAGTCTGGTACTTCTCACTAAACGAGCGGAATAAATGTAAAGTACGTCTACCAATCAACATTGCAATTAAATATATTGTTGCTCAACACAGTACAGCACTATTTTTAGCCTTAAATAAATACCACCACACACTATCAAATGTACACTGGACACTTGTGAGCCACTTTCCAGCGTTCACAATCTATAACGTTATAGTTTTGTTGCGATTATGTCTGGATAAACCGTTTGATTGTTTACCTGATCTACTGCCAAATATATTTTCGTGTCGAATTGATTATTCCGCAAGGCCCAGAATTTCGATCAGTTGGAAATTTAAATCAAAGGCTTTTATGATGTTTTAGTTAAAGTAGGTTTGGATAATTGCGGAAATGTAAGTATAGTACTGAAAGATAACAAGCAAAGCAGCGAAAAGCTGGTCCTAATAAATCCAGACCCGGAAAAGTAAGCACAGTAAGAAAGGAATTGAATCATCAAAAAGAACCGCGAGGAAAGAAAGGTGGATGATAGAAAAAACCTGACATTATTCAAAGTACTTATAAAGAAAGAGAAGGCATAAAACCTTATTCAATATTATAAAGATACATTGAAATCAGCAAAAAATACTAAATAACCTTAACTAAAAACAGTAAAAAACTAAAATTAACCACACGGAAACTAAAAATTATTTAAAGTTGACAATAAATATCATGTTTTCTCGTGAATATAATTGTTTGCATTTGAAATTAGTTTTCTTTTCATTGTGTCTTTTCTTCATCATTATCCAATCACATTTTAAGATCTGAATCTATAAACAAATTGAAATTAACGGGCAAAAGTCTATTCAAATGCGCAGAGAAAGTAGGTATGTTGCCAATACGTTGACCTTCTCCAGACGTTATTCCATACAAATTTCCGTATGCCTTGGACTTTTCAAATGGAAAGATGTAAAAGCTAAATCTTACAGAATAATTGGCAACTCATTCGGCGTGGGAGTGATCGTCCTTTTTACACGAAAGAAAACTTGATTGAATTATTTATATACCGAGCTTTTTGGGTTGAGCCTTCCTGAATATAAAACATATTAATTTTGCAGTTAAATTTACAAGATGCACGTATCAAATTTAAAACAGTTGCCTTGTTACGATCTGCAATCAAAATACGAATAAACCATTTAGGTAACTTCATCAAGGTTTGATCCAATTTTATTTTGTTTGTCTACCTCTTTTCAGTTGCAAGATAAATAAATGCCGTCTTAATTTACACACAGGTTTTTTTGCATTTTAAGTATGTATTTTATTTGCTACCATAAAATATTTTTTCATTTACTAACTTTTATTATTTGCTATACTATAATATAACTATATAGTTTATACGAATACTTTTTATTTGCGGAATTTGCCAACTTTCTGTTGATATGGATTCAAGTTTGTTCTAAAATTAAGAAAACTCATTAATCTGTGAACAACTTGATGTCGCATTTGCCATAAAGAAAATGCAGATATTTTCTACTCATACACACACATACACATATACATTTAAAGTTTGCTTTGAATTATTCTAGTTGGGAACTAAAAACACAAACAAAAACGACACTTAAATAGATAGTTTTTTCACATTTTGCTTTAAGATTCACACTTCTTCTGCAGTTTCAATTAAATTTCCATTAATGATTACGTTAACATTTATTTAATTACTCAAAATGATTTGGACTTCACATAGAACATACGGGCTGCGCTGCTGGTGGAGATAAATTTGTTTTGAACAATATTTGTCAAATGATTAAAATTAAATAAAAATAAAAATTAAATTTTCTAATTAGAATAATAGAGAAGCCCACTCAAATTATTTCTCAATGTCTCATATTTGGGTAGGTACAAGCTCAATTTTCTTTTCTATTCTTACTTCGGTACTTCAGCGTTAAACCAGACTCCGTTGGCCGAACAACATTTAACACACATTACAAATAAGTAATAAATAATAATAAAACTTACTTGCTGCATCCTGATCAAGGGTCATCTCCTGCAGCTGACTTGGGCTGGTACTGTAAAAAAATATATTAATTAATATTAATATTAAGGATCTGTACATGAACTGGTACTAAACTAAGCTATTTTCAAACCAATTGGCACTAAGTGGCAGTACTAACCGCTACCTGATACTACTTATAGGACGTAATAAATAGACTACTAACATTGCTGTTTTATGAGGAATTTATGTCTAAAGAATTTTTTTAGAGATGGTTTCGTAATTACCGCATTAGAAAATAAAAAAATATGCTTCAGAGACAAAGAATAAAAATTCAGACATCTACTTCTAAATGATCAGAATCAGTTCATCAAATAATCATCAAAATGCTTAGCTAACTTAAACACCTATTCAAATATAAGAAGGTAAACTTTTTTAGATTCTATAATGTGTAACAAATTGAAGAGTATGCGTTCTTTTTCTTCACTTACTTTATCAGGACACATGGTGAATGCCTGATTAGTCAGTTTGTAAATTACAAAGAAAAATAGATAGATAGATCACAATTAGAAAATCAATTTATATATGGACATTTTTGAAAATCAGACATTAGGTGAACTATCGGACATAAACCTTAAAAAGTTAAAAGGTTAAAATAATAATAATAGTTGGTCATTGTAGTGGCAAATTGGTGTTAAATGATGTTGGGTGAGCTTTAATTGAAAATAATTGGCGGCTGCAAATATGATTGAAAAGAATGAATAATGCTAATTCTTAGACCATAAACACGTTATACACCGACAAAGAAATGCGTTCAATCAAAGTTGATAAAAAATTTAAAAAATTGCAAAATTAGGCGTAGGTATATTTGTATAATTTTCAGAAAGTAGTTTCTAACAGTATCTTAGAAACCTAAACATTGACAATGCTGTAGTGGGTTTTAAAAGCACCCTTTGTTTAAGGCCCCGATTTCTTGTATAGGCCGTTGGATCAATCAATACTTGTCTGTTTAATAAATCATTCTCTGCTTGACCTGGATTTACACGTAAAAGTTCATAAAATCAAAATATCAAACAAGCAGTCAACTGTATTAATCGATGAATAAATTTGCAGACAAATCAGACGATAAAAAGAGACAATAAACCGTAACTGTAGCAATGCTTGTTTCTATAGGCCTAAATTGTATTGGTTTATAATTTAAAAATGTAACAAAAAGTGAAGATTAATTTATTATTTTCTGAAAATGATACATGATTGTTGTGACGTTTAGTGGGTTTATTAATCATTATGATTAATAAAACCACTAAACGAAAAAATTACTAAATATTTTAATGGCATTAAATTTCCGGCTAAATCGACAGCGGAAGAGCCGCAAAAAACCTTAATCCGGCCCCAATTTTTTCCCTACATTTGGTTTTTTATGGTTTACTTTTGCCTTATTGTTTCAATACATTTTGCAATTTCATTGCCATCAAAATGTATATTATATAACGTATAAATAAACTACATCATTCACTTTGACAAATCCATTAAAATAAATAATTATTACGTGTGAAGAAATAACGACATTAACTCTAACTAAAAAAAATATGGTGATTATTAATTCGTGTGACAAAATCTGAAAACGAGTTTCAGATTTTATGTACGACTTTTTCAGTTATTCGTCGATTGTTTGCATGAGTTGGTGATACAAACGTTTTTGCTTCGAAAATCTTTCTATAGGTAGGTACCTTGGCAAATTAATACACACTTTTTAATATAAAAATATCAATTTTTGATTCGATTTCATTCGACGCTAAAAAGTTTGGACAAAACATAATTTTTACGGCACTTTTCTGCAATAGACCAGATCAAATGCAGGTAGACAGTAGCAAAAATTATTGAAATGTATTTAGATATGTAGTAAAACCCATCTACTTTTGCCCGGTCTTTCAGAAGTGTGCCACACAACGTTCGAAATAATAGAACAAGGACATTGTTGAATTTTGTTCCAACTCCCAAGTTCTCCAGTTCTATTTAAATACTGATAGCACGTTACAATCAAGCAGTTGGCAAACAAGTTTGTTTGCAAGTAAATAAATTTTTCCAATAAAACTTCAGCTCTGAGGCGAACAATAAAAAGTGTGGGCACACATTTGCCAGCAGGAAACCTTTGGAAGCTATTTTTATTTTAACAGTTTGGCTTTCAACACCTTGGAAATGTAGATATATCCGGTGGTATTCGACAATTATAATCAATTTTTCGTTTCCCATGCAGGCAAAAAGTGTCACTGGCATATATAAGACCTTAAAAAATCGGAACATAATAAAGGCGACTAAGAAAAGAACATACAGTAAAACCTAAAAAACATCATAAATAATTCTAAATAAAACTCGCTTTTGTGCTTGATGTCAGCTGATTGTTTTACGCAAAACGTTAACATGTCCAGGCTCATTTATCATTAATAAACTGTCTTTACATTTTTAAATAATTACCGCGTAGGATTGTGCACATGGCTAATTTTCTAAGAAGCATTTCAAACACTGCGTGTTAAACCAAAGATCAACATCTGAACTAAAGTGCCGTTTACACGCTCAAGCCAACTGAACAATATCGCTTGCACAAGCCCGATCGCTCAGGCAAATCGTTAGGTGTAAACGCAGATCTGAAGTTTGGCTTGAGTAAAATCGATCCTGCTGCAGCCTCCGACATTTTAACTCTCAGGGTGAATAGAAAAATGAAGCCATAAATTTTAATTAGGAAAAGGAATGCTGACAAAAGTACGGCGACGGGACGCCGGTGCAATCTATTGTACCACCAGTGGACAAGTGTTCTGCACACCATTTCTTTTTAGTTTTCAAGTTCATCTTTTTCTTTATAACACACACTGCACCCGTTGCAAGAATTAATTCTTCGTCCAAATATTCCATCTTGTTGGCCGCAATACAATTTTGGGTGTTCCTCATTCACATCTGGGTAAAACGAACTGAACGTGTAAACGCCAGATTTTCGTTCATTTGCTCAGATCTGGCTTGTGCAAGTCAGATCGTTCAGATCGCTTGAGCGTGTAAATGGGCTTTAAAGAGTTAGTAAATTTATCAACAAATATTTATATTTGGTGGTGATTAAGCCTTGTAAAGTGTGCATTGTTAATGTGTTGACAAAAATTGGAAAGCACGTAAAATACACACTGGTTTCAGGGTTTAAAATAATGCCAGTTTATCGACCGTTTGAGTAACCTTTTAAAAAAATACCGACCAGCTTGATAACTACCGAATAATTAAGAATAAATACATTTTAAACATTATACATACTCGGTTCAAAATCGATTGGCGTCGTCAAATATATGCAACATTGTGATACTTACAAAGTGTCAGAAAACGAATGCAAAATAAGTAGCTGTTTATGTACTTAGTTAGAAATAAAACAAAATATATTTGAGATTGATAATATATATTAAAGTAAGTACTAACAAGGAAATAAAATGAAATTACCTCATAGACTAGTGCAAAGAGTAGAAGTAACAAATGAACGAGAATAATTTTTGTGGCGACAACTGAAGATTTTTCTGTGTGTTTTTTTAAATCTGTATACCTCTTAAATATGTATCAGATCCTTATGGAAAGAAGATACGCACTTATTAATAGAATAGGAGAATCTGGTATTGAAACAAGATATGTTTTACACAACATTCCTAGATCGATTCCTAGATGAGAGTTATGGATTGAAAAATGTTACTAATATTGAACAGCTTTTTTATAATTCTGGTTGCCATAAATTTTCCGTTGTTTTGTCAGTATTCGATTTATTTGTTTAACTATTTTGTTAAAACTTATTTGCACCCAAGTTTTAGATTGTTTTGAGCCACTTTATGGTTTACTAAAGTAGTGTTTGATGCGTTGAGTTCGATAAATGTTTGGTATAAAAAATGTATGTGCTTCTATAACAGACATTCTCATATCAAATAGCCCCAACAATAAATCTGAACGCAACTTTTCTGTTGCCGAAAACGAGCAGACATATCAGTGCACGTTTTTTTGTAAATTCCGTTGATTTTACTTGTGTTCTAAAATTTAAAAATAACAGTTTGCCATACGGTTGGAACTGCTGCAACATTTAAAAAACCTTCTGTATGTGGTAATATTCAAATTAATTTAAAAAATATGAGTATAATTTAAAAATACTTTTTGTTATACCTGAGTACCAAAATGATTAAAATAAATTGCTGCCTATCTAGTATACGTTTGACAGAATTGTGTACAAAAAACACTGAAGAACCAAAATCACCTTTGAAATAGAAAAATTAATCGACTAGTTTTGCTTTTTGGTTCCTTAAAGCTTGAGTTTCTGCAAGTTTATATCGCCGAAGTCTCTGATAGATGTGCGCAAACAATATACATCCTGAAATAGCCCAAAAAAACTATAAAATAAAGATACGCAAATCAATATACTTAAAAACGTTCAGGTAAGTTCGACCGATTTTTACTACATAAAACCTACGAATATTACATAATACGGCATTTAGAGATGTGTAAAGGAAATTTTAAAGAACCTGGACCAACAGCATAAGAGTATCTAATAAATTAGATACTCTTATGGTTGGCTCTTAAATATGGTTAAGAAAACCATACCTACTGTTTCAATGATTATTTTGTACAATAATTACAATACAGACATTATTTCTCTTCAAGATGTCTGAATTATTTTATTTATGTATACTTATTTGTACTGCAGAAGAACTCCTTTCTTCAGTACTTCAATCCAGTATTTCATTCGAACTTAACTCATCCAAAGGATTATCCTAATGGAGATTTGATAAAATTTTCTATTATTTCCCTCAAATGCCACTATTTGTGCAGAATAACATTACGAAGCATCGTATTCCAAATAAAACTATTTTTAAGACAACGTTTTCTATGAGCACTTTTTTTTTCTAAAATTCTGATAATATTTTTCCATACTTCTTAAACATTTCAAATTAATTAATTGTACTGTTGTATAAAAGAAAAGTGTAAAACAGCATTGTGCAAGGGTATTTTCCAGCAGATGATGGAGATTTTTATGAATCCATGTTTAGTTTTTTGCATCCTACCTAA